CTTCCTTGTAGTTAATCCGAATCTCTCTCTCTGTTCTTATTTTTCTCCTCGTATTTGTTCTTGTTCTTGCGTTCCTTACGTCCCCTTGTCTGCATAATCAGCAATAACAAAACCCAGATTGAGATTTAGTCCTTGGTTCGGCTGCTCTGTTTTAAGTCTCTGAAACCCAGAGAAGACCCTTCATTTTAGCTGTTTGATTCAACGTCTTCTTGCGGTTTTCGCAGGTATTTCTCACCATTTCATTTATGTTGTTCGATATTTCACTCTGTTTTATCTTTCAGAAGGGAAATCCAGTTTTCCATGTCAACCAGATTCATATCTGTTTTACCCCCGTTTGAACGGTGGATGTTGATTTTTTGCCCTTTAGAATCTTTTTTCCTTTTTGTTAGTTTTATCAATTTTGAGGGATTGAGATCATGATTACTTGAACTGGGTCAGTTTTCATATGAATTTCAAAGTAGAACGTGAATTGGCTTGTGGGAATTTCTAAGGGATAAAGAAAGCTCTTGAATGAATGGAAGAAGGCAGTGCATGCAATGAAGAAGAGTAGCTAAGCCGTTTTTACATCTCTTTAGACACTTTGGATACTTGGAAGTGATTTATGCTAACAATTGTTTCCTGCTTTATGTTCTTGTTTCTTTATGAACCATGCCTGTTGTCTCTGAGAATCGAATAAGATTTCGAAACGAAATGTCTCATAGGAAGCACTGACATGTGATTTCTCTTACTCTTGTTGGCTGAAGGGCTGCGATGGCGATTTGTATACCTGTTGGAAGCTGCAAACTGTTCTGCAGGGCGGTAGACTTGAAGTGGCAAGGTTGTAGAAAAGCCCAATGGGATGCTAGTATAGCTTTCAAAAGATGCTTGCAGGATGAGTTCTCACGGTACGGAACATAGATACTGAACATAGACGAATATAATGATCAAAACAAACTGTGGTTTACTGCATTCCTGCCTGGATCACTTCTATCATTTTGTCAATATCATGTTTGTTGATGGGTTCCAACTGAACAGTACCTAGGTATCTCATATTTATAGAGTTGATATCAGAAATTATCGTCCTAATATGACGGGATGGGGGAGTGGATTCTCTTTATATCCACTGAACTTTGACATTACACTGAAGAGCTTTGCATAAGACAGTTTTTTCTTGTTTGATACTTTTGTTCCTATCTTGCATCGATTTATGTTCGACGAATTGATGCATACTTTTTACCTGTTTAACACCATGGACTTCATGTTACTTATTGTTTGACACGATTATTCAGGTTGCATAGGTTAAGTAAGTTCTCACATTTACAAAGCAGCAAGACTTCCCAACCTACAATTAATGAGAAATGGAGAACTCCGACTACAGTCGCTTCAGCGTGCTTGAATGACGGTTCAACGAAATATTTTGATTTTGTTATTATTGGTAGCGGAGTTGCTGGCCTTCGTTATGCTCTTGAAGTTGCGAAACACGGGTCTGTAGCTGTGATTACCAAGGCTGAGCCTCATGAGAGCAACACAAATTATGCTCAAGGTGGTGTTAGTGCTGTTCTTTGTCCTTCAGACTCTGTTGAAAGTCATGTGCAGGACACCATTGTAGCCGGAGCTCATCTGTGCGACGAGGAGACAGTTAGAGTATGTTTTCCAGCTTATCATAAGTTTCAATACCATTTTTCTTTCTTTCTTTCTTTCTTTCTATTGAAGTTGCCTATTTTCTTTAGGTTGTATGTACAGAAGGACCTGACAGAATCAGAGAGTTGATTGCTATGGGCGCATCGTTCGACCATGGGGAAGATGGTAACTTGCATCTAGCAAGGGAAGGGGGACACTCTCATCGTCGGATTGTTCATGCTGCAGATATGACTGGAAGGGAAATCGAGCGGGCTCTTTTGGAGGCAGTTGTTAGGGATCCTAACATTTTTGTGTTTCAGCACCATTTTGCAATTGACTTGCTAACTTTCGAGGTTTGCTTTCGTCTGTTGTTTCTTCTGATTTTAGCGATTGTATCGAAAAAAACGTGGGAAATTTAGACATCAGAGTAATATCAAAGTACAAATCAAATGCTTTAGAATGCAGTAACATGAAATGATGTTGCTAATGTTGCAGGATGGTTCTGACATTGTATGTGTTGGCGTTGATACTTTGAACGCCGAGACACTGGAGGTGATGTCTCAATTCATCCCAAAACATATCAAATTATCAGGACGCAATTCTGAGTCTTAGTCAATTCATGTATTCTGCTTTTTAACGTCGTTTTTCTCGTGTACTTCCAGGTAACACGGTTTATTTCAAAGGTGACTTTACTTGCCTCAGGTGGAGCTGGACATATGTATCCATCAACAACGAATCCCCCGGTACTTTTCGTTTCCCGATCTACAACCTTCTAAATGAAACTAATTATACTAATGTTGGTTGGTATTTGCTTAAAGGTTGCCACAGGAGATGGAATTGCCATGTCTCATCGAGCTCAAGCTGTAATTTCCAACATGGAGTGAGTAACCATCTCAGTTATTGTGATTTATTTTATGCATCATGATTGTTGCTGAATTTGGTTGATAAGCGTTGCTCGGTTTCCCAAGTATACGAATCGTTGTAAGTACAATTATCATTTTCCATAGGGAATGAATGCTACACATTGCCAAATTCTACTCCTACAATTAAAAGACACAATAAACAATTATATTAGAGACACCAGGGTGGGATACCGGGTGGTGTGTCAGTGAAGACGCTGGGCCCCGAAGAGGGGGTGGATGGTGAGATTCCACATCAGTTGAAGAGGGGAACAAAACATTCTTTATAAAGGAGTGAAAACCTCTCTCTAGTAGACACGTTTTAAAAATCTTGAGGGGAAGCTCGAAAAGAAAAGCCGAAAGAGGACAATATCTGCTAGCAGTGGGCTTGAGGCGTTGCAATTAGACAATAAAATACCCAAATAAACAATTGAAAGACACATCATCTTACCTTCCAAGTATCGCTTTGAGGATGCAGGAGTAGCTTCGTTCTTGTGTTGTTGGTTAATTTGTAGTTTTGCTTCATTTTCTCCGGTCGATTTGGGGAATGATTAAGGATGATTGGAGTCATGGTTCTAATTAAATTTGCTATCTAATGCAGATTTGTGCAGTTCCACCCAACTGCCTTAGCTGATGAGGGCCTTCCAGTCAGACCAGACAAGCCGAGAGAAAACGCTTTTCTTATTACTGAAGCCGTTAGGGGTGATGGCGGTATCCTGTACAATTTAAGTATGGAAAGATTCATGCCGTTGTATGATGAGAGAGCCGAGCTCGCCCCCAGAGATGTCGTGGCTAGAAGCATAGACGACCAGCTGAAAAAGCGAAATGAGAAGTATGTGCTACTAGATATTAGTCACAAACCCAGGGAAAGTATTCTCTCTCATTTCCCCAACATTGCTGCTGAGTGCCTCAAGTATGGTTTGGACATTACATGCCAGCCAATCCCAGTAGTTCCTGCTGCCCATTACATCTGTGGAGGAGTTCGTGCAGGGCTTCAGGGAGAGACTAATGTGCAGGGTCTATATGTGGCCGGTGAGGTTGCTTGCACGGGTTTACACGGAGCTAACCGTCTAGCTAGCAACTCATTGCTCGAAGCTCTAGTTTTTGCACGAAGGGCAGTTGAGCCCTCTGTTGTTCATATGAAGAGCTCAAGTTTTGATTCCAGTGCCTTGAATAGGTGGGCTAGACCATTTGTTCCCATGTCCCTTGGAAACCATTTCATGAGCAGAATCATATCAATGACAAATGACGTAAGGAAACAATTACAACTAATCATGTGGAAGTATGTCGGAATTGTTCGGTCAACCACCAGGCTCGAGACTGCTGAGCTGAAGATCAGTGAACTAGAAGCAACATGGGAGGAGTACTTGTTTCATCAAGGATGGGAGCCAACAATGGTGGCTCTGCAGGTTTGTGAAATGAGGAACCTGTTTTGCTGCGCAAAGCTAGTTGTTAGCAGCGCCCTCGCTCGGCAAGAGAGCCGTGGGCTTCATTATACAATCGATTTTCCTCATCTCGAGGAGAGCAAGAGGCTTCCGACCATTATACTTCCTTGTTCACCCACCAAAAGTACTTGGAGCTCAAGACAGCTTCACTGGCAACCTGTGTCGTAGTAGTAAATACTGTCTGCTATGGCAAACATGGTACTGCCTAAATCATTATATTCATTGACAGAGTTATCATTCTTTTGTGTAGCCTCATTTGCCTATGGTTACATATCTTATGTGCAACTTGCAGCTTTTATTGCATACAAGGTTTTACTGAAAGGTTCTCCTGCCTAGTAGTTTCTATGTTTCTAAACATCAAATTATTTAGTATCTATGATTTTGAGATTGTTGAATTGTTTGCAAGAGCTTTGAAGATTTTCTCCCTATCTTTGATTTTTTTTTATTGTGAGAAGGTGAATGACTCACGTAACTGTCCAAGTCTACTGCTACAGATATTGTTCTTCTTGAGCTTTCCTTCAAGGTTTTTAAAACGCGTCTAGTTTCCTCTCATATCGGTTGGAGAGGTGAACGAAGCATTACTTATAAGGGTGTGGAAACCTCTCCCTACCAAATGTATTTTAAAACATTGAGAGAAGGCTCGGAAGGGAAAGTCCAGAGATGACAATATCTGCTAATGGTGAACTTGAGCTATTATAAGTGGTATCAGAGCCAGACACCGGGTGGTGTGCCAGTGAGGATGCTGAGCCTCAAAGGAGGGTGGACACCAGGCGGTGTGCTAGCGAGGACGCTGGGCCCCGGAAGGAGTGAATTGTGAGATCCCACATCGATCAGAGAGAGGAACGAATGCCAGCAAGGATGTTGGGCTCGAATAGGGTGAATTGTGAGATTTCACATTAGTTGTAGAAGAGAGCAAAGTATTGGGGTGTGAAAACCTCTCACTAGCAGACACGTTTTAAAAATCTCTTGAACGGAAGGAAAGAGAAAGCTCAAATAGGACATTATTGGCTAGTGATGGATTTAGGTTGTTACGACTCATTGGGTTTGGGAAATTTCTTGGCCATGGACAAATCCCTGTCATGTGATTAACATGTTCAGAAAAATACAAAGATCTGTTGTACTATCTCAATGATGCTCAATTTTCAATTTTCTTCTCCCTTGTCCACGCTTGTGGCCCCCTATGTCGTACCCTTCTCCAAGTTCAATCCATCTAAAATCCACTGTCCGCTTATTTCGTCTCAGTGCGCCGCTACTTCCCATTATCCCAAGTTGCCTATCAAACCATTCAAAGTCTGAGAGGCATTGCTCTTGCTTAGCGTGGTGGAAAATTATGGACCCACTTAAGCTCCGTCGTGTGTTGGTGTTTCTGTTTCTGGGTTTAGTGGGACGAACGGTGGCGTTGGCTGGCGGCAGCGGCTCCGGTTGTGGGTTTCCGGCTGTGTACAACTTCGGCGACTCAAACTCGGACACTGGAGGAATATCGGCTGCATTCAATGTGATTCAGTCACCTAATGGCGTAACCTTCTTTGGACATCCTTCTGGGAGGGCCTGTGATGGCCGTCTCATTATAGACTTCATTGGTAACTTACCAAATTTGTTCATATCTCTCTGTTTGTGAAGGTTATGCACAAATTACTTACACTGTAAATCTTAGCTCAATAAGAACCACAATTCAACTGGAATCCACCTATTCTTGAACTCAAAATCATAGTTGAATAACTCCATTTTGAGCTCTTATGATTTGTGTGATTCTTCTGCAGCTGAGAAGCTGAAACTTCCATTTCTGAGTGCATATCTGGACTCAGTAGGAACAAGCTTTAGGCATGGAGCTAATTTTGCAACAGGAGGTTCGTCGATTCGTCCCGGTGGTTACAGCCCTTTTCATCTCGGCCTCCAAGTATCACAGTTCATCCAATTCAAATCCCGCTCGATCTATCTATACAACCGACTCCGCTCCAACAGTCGGTTTCTCAATAATTATTCTTTGCACATTACACTTCTCAGAATAGAACAGAGCTTCCTCTCTTTGTTGTATGAATTTTCTAACACAAATGTTGGCTACTTGTTGACAGACAGGACATCTCTACCAATGAAAAGTATAGCGAGGCCCCAGGAGTTTCCGAAGGCACTATATACGTTCGATATCGCACAGAACGATCTCTCCTATGGTTTCCAACACTCATCAGAAGAACAAGTTAAAGCTTCAATTCCAGATATACTAAACACATTCTCTGAAGCTGTGGAAGTAGGCAATCTAAATCACTCACTCAACAATGCACATAAAAACTGTAATGACCCGACTTTCCGCACACACATCGGTTGGAGAGGGGAACGAAACATTCCTTATATAAGGGTGTGAAAACCTCTCCCTAACATACGCATTTTAAAACCTCGAGTAAAAAGCCAAAGAGGACAATATCTACTAGCGGTGGGCTTGGGCTTGGGCTTGGGCTTGGGCTTGGGCTGTTACAAATGCATGTTTGCATGTATTTTAAATTATACATTTTTTTGTTGTTAAGTGATGACTCTGACCGATGCAGTGTGCTGAAAATCAGGTCGTTACAAAAACACTTTGAGAAACTTTAATGAAAGCTCTGATGTTCTTTTTGGTGTATGTTTCAGCAACTGTACAAGGAAGGGGCAAGATATTTCTGGGTGCATAACACAGGTCCAATTGGATGTCTGCCTTTTGCTATTCTGGATAACAAGAGGCCAGGTAATATAGACAGTGTCGGGTGCGTAAAGAGTGCAAATGAAGTCGCTCGAGAACTCAACCGACAGCTTAAGAATCTGCTGCTAGAGCTAAGGAAAAAGCTTCCTCAAGCTAGAATCACACACGTAGACATGTATTCAGCCAAATATCTGCTCATAAGCGACGCAAAAGCACAAGGTTGTCACCTTTTTTTCTCGATGTCCGTTTGAAATATCGATCCGAAGTTAACTTTAGTATTGGAATTGGTGGCAGGTTTTGTTAATCCAGTGAAGTTTTGCTGTGGGAGCTTTCAGGGCTTTAATATTAACTGTGGGAAGAAGGAAGTTGTGAATGGAACAGTTTATGAGAATAATCCTTGCAAAGATCTATCAAGGCATGTTAGTTGGGATGGCATACACTACTCTGAGGCTGCAAACTTGTGGATTGCTACCCACATTTTGAATGGTTCATTTTCAGACCCACCATTGTCGATTGATAAAGCTTGTCAAGCTGCTCATAATGTATGATAATGACAGTAAGTTTGATGAATTACTTGTTGATTCTTCTCAAGAAAATGCTTAACATTGAATCAGCAAGCTTTTAACTTATCATGTGAGCAATATAATATGTGGTTGTCAAGTGATTCTCCACTCATTTTTGCTTCCTGTTTGCTTTGGAATTCTTGTCATCTATTATCAACCACTCATTTCTTTGTACTCCATTTTTTCTTCCAAAAAATTTGAGGCCCTTAGAAGTTACAATATGCTTGTGTGCTTTTGGTCAAGAGGGTTCAATCTTTTCCATGGTGCACTTGCTAGATTCGTAGTTGCAACAGTCCAAGCCTACCGCTAGTAAATATTGCCCTCTTTAGAGTTTCCCTTCAAAGTTTTAGAATGTGTCCACTGGGGAAAAGTTTTCACACCCTTATAAGGAATGCTTCGTTCCCCTCTCCAACCAATGTGGGATCTCACAATCCACCTCCTTTAGAGCCCAACGTCCTTGTTGGCATACTGTCTGGTGTCTGCCTTTGATACCATTTGTAACAACCAATGTGGGCTCTCACAATCCACCTCCCTTAGAGCCCAACATTCTCATTGGCATACCGTCTGGTGTTTGCCTCTGATACCATTTGTAATAACCAATGTGGGATCTCACAATCCACCTCCTTTAGAGCCCAATGTCCTCGTTGGTATACCGTTTGGTGTCTGACTTTGATACCATTTGTAACAGTCTAAATCCATCGCTAGTAGATATTATCTACTTTGACCCGTTACGTATCGCCGTTAGTCTCATGGTTTTAAAACGCGTCTATTAGGAAGAGGTTTCCATACCTTTATAATGTATGCTTCGTTGTCCTCGCCATCTGATTATCCATGGAGGGTGTCAAGTTTAAGATTTCAAGCAAAGAATGATAAAGAAAACTCTATATATAATGATCTCCTTATCCTTGTGTAACAACTTTTAGCCTTATGTAACCGCTCAAATCCATCGCTAGCATATTCTTTGGGCTTCCCCTCAAAGTTTTTATAACACGTCTGTTAGAGAAAGCTTTCCACACTTTTATAAAGAATGACTCTGTTCGTTTTCTTCTCCAACCGATGTGGGATCTTACCATCCACCCCTTTGGAGAGAGAGCTTTTGAGGGATGTTAGCGGAACTCTCAAAAGCTAGATAGGGTTCCACATTATCAACCCCACTCTTCAAAGTTTTTAAAATGCATTTGTTAAGGAGAGTTTCTCACACTTTTATAAAAAATGTTTCGTTCTCCTCTCCAACCAACGTGGGATGTCTCTACATTGAATTGAAAACGCTCAGAATAACATGATTATCAACTATTCTTTCACCTTTTTTGTTTCCTGGTATCTTCAAAGAAGGATCCCTATCAAGATCCCCTGCTGATATGGTTCACATTTATTTTTCAAGCCCAAAGAATCTCCTATTTGACTGATCCCCACTCTACCTTTGAACTCTACCTTTTTCAAAGTCAAAATCCCTCCCATTTGCTAGATTCTTCCATTCATCTTTATTCATATCCGACCCGTTAAGTGAAACTAAAAGCAAACGATGGGAATGCAACCAAAACAAGATCCATGGATGAAGTCAAAAGTGAGAGCTTATACTCAAAGTAGACAATAACAAATGATATTGGTCCAAATGGGCTGCAACGTCCGTTCATGGAGTGTCCTCTTGTGTTACTTAAGATAAGCAAATAGAGTTGACTTGGGAAGATACCTGTAAGTGGCAGTGAGCCACAAAAAGAGCAACACAGAATAATGGTTCCTTCCCATTTGAATTGCAACTTTGTTCTATTCTCTTCATCAAAGACAAAACCCATTTTGTCAAAAGAATGTCTCACCATTTCTCTCCCACGTTTCTAAAAGTCAAACATGAAATCCATGTCCCAGTACTAAGTTATGTTGTTTTGATTTAATCTTAGAATTGTGTGTTTACATATTATGATTTGTTTTTTTTTTTTTTTTTTTTTGTATAGTTTAAGGATAAATTAAATTTAAATCTTTAAAGGACTTTTCATTTCTTTTACCTTTTGTTATTCTGTTTCTTACTTTTGTAGAACGAAAAAGGAAAAAGAAAACAAAATTTCTCATTTTTTTACTTTAGATAAAAAAAAAAAAAGAGTTTTTTGGACAGATAAAAGGGTAAGAATATGAATATTTGAATATTTGAATTTTTTTTTTTGACAAATAATGTTAAAGAATAGGAATAAAATGGGTTTAATTTGAATATAACTTCTTACATTCCCTTACGTCTCGTGACAGCTATTTTAACATGTTTTGTCTTTATTCACATATTTATTAAGAAAATCTATAAGAGGTACTATTATAGGATTGGTTCGTTCGTGTACCATTCATTTACTTGAATGCTCAAACTTCTTTCTAATGCTATACCTCGACAACTAGTGCCTCTAAAAAAGACGCCTATCCTAATATTTTATTGATTTATTTCTTTAGTGAAGTTATCATGTTGGTTCCATAAAGGATTTCTCATCTCATTCAATCTCACAAAAGAGTCGTCTAAAATTGGTGAGATCATGAAAGGGTTATCTCCTTTTGATGAACATGATTGAAATGAAAAATTAAGTTGAATTTGATCCATATAAATTTGAAAACCCATTGATTATTGTTCGCAATTCGGTAATAAGATTCAAACATTTGATGTATTGGTTGAGAATATATGTTTAAATGAGTTGTGGGCTATTGACACCGATGTGAATTTTGTTCTCTTCAATTCAACTAGAACCATAGGTCCCGAATCAAGATTAAGAAAACGAATTTTTTCAATTATTGACTGTCAAACCCTACTCAACCTAATACAGAGGTACTTATGGAAGAACGGTTGATCAAGTCTTTCGCAATTCTGCAAGCCCTTTTGCCTTGAATGCTCAACTAAAATGTGAAAAGTCATAACTAACCGAATCAAATCTAGAATTAGCATATTTTTTACCTTTTTTTTTTTTAATTTTCTTGTGATGGAACTCATATAGGAATAAATAATATGGAGACTTTGATCATATCCTCAGCATGTAGCCCTAGCTGAATATATACAAATATTCTGGTTCCTTTATTATGGGACCCCAACCCTTTCTGGATCACTCCAAAACAACGTTTCCTCTTAACACTTTCTAACCAGGAGAAGAATAGGGTTATATATTCACCTCAAACTCCCTTTCCCTCTGCAAAATCAAGTGGCATCGCCCTAGGGTTCGGTTCGGTTTGGTTTAGTTTGGTTTAGTACGAAGCGTATATGGACCACCCATCTGAAACACTAAGGTCTCTCTCTCTGTCTTCTCTTAATTTGTACCTATTCTTGAAAAGAATGGAGGGTTTGTTAAAGTGTGTATAATTGTTTGAAAGTGCAGGCACAAATGTGCAGCTTGCTTCAGGCAGTTCAACAAGATAGAGCACTTGGTAGAGCATATGAGACTCTCGTTTCACTCTCTTCATGAACCCACTTGCTCCCTTTGCCACAAACACTGCAGATCCTTTGAATCTCTCCGGGAACATCTCATTGGTACGCTAAAGTTTCCATTTTTAGTTTTAAAATTACTATATTTAAGCTTATAAACACTACTTTCATCAAGGGCCTCTGCCGAAGCAAGAATGCAACAATATATTCGGCACGAGAGGATGCAAAATCTGCTTAGCCATCTTTGAGAGTCCTCACACCTTGAGGCTTCACCAAGAAAGATGTCAACTTCGATCTCCAAATTTTGTAGGTGAAAAGTGTATTTCATCAACTGTAACGGCCTAAGCCCACTGCTAACAAATATTGCACTTCAAGGTTTTTAAAACGTGTATATTAGGGAGAGGTTTCCACACCCTTATAAAAGATGTTTCGTTCTCCTCTTCAACTGATGTGAAATCTTACAGTAATGTATCAAAGTCAGACACTGGACGATGTGCCAGTAAGGAGGCACCCAAAGGGGGTTGGCACAAGGCAGTGTGCCAACAAGGACATTGGGCCCCGATGAGGTAAATTGGGGGGTCCCACATCGATTGGAGAAAGAAACGAGTGTCAGTGAGGACATTGGGTCTTGAAGGGGGTAGATCGTGAGATCCCACATCGTTTGGAGATGAGAACAAAGCAACCTTTATAAAGGTGTGGAAATGGGGGCGAAAAAAAGGAAAGAGAGGGATGGGGTTTCTCTCGCTTTTGGCATAGCGGGAGGCCCGCACAACAGACTATTAGCTCAGTGGTAGAGCGTGCCCCACATAATGGCGGTGTTGTGCCTGGGCTGTGAGGGCTCTCAGCCACGTGGAAAACCTCTCCCTAGCATATGTTTTTTAAGAGAAAATTTAAAAAAAAAAAAGCACAATAAAGACAATATCTATTAGTTGTGTGTGTCGGGGTGTGTGAGTTGAAATGCGATTTATCTTCTTATTTGACATCAAAATTGCTTCCTTACAGAGTCAAATCATGGCCCGTTTTCGCAACATGGGAATTTGTGACAAATTGACGAGCGACAATGGCCGCATGAGGCGCCATGAAGCAGTGGCATTGGCTTGCAGAATGGTGGGCGGTGGCAGCGATGGGTCGTTAGATATATGCGCAAGGGTCTGCCTGATTGACGAAAAGGAAACCATCATTTTCTCTACTTATGTTAACCCAACGCTCCCCATCACAAACTATAGGTACAACACATCCCAACTTTAGAACTAAACTAACCCAAAGGGTTCATCTTTTGAATTATCATATGCAGGTTGGAGTCCACGGGCGTTGGTCCAGAATACTTGAGGGATCATGCAATGCCATTGAAGCAAGTTCAGAAGAAAATTCAAGACATCCTGTGCAATGGTGAGCCGATGTGGAAGATTCGACCTGGGGTCGGAGGAAAAGCAAGGATTCTTGTGGGTCATGGCTTGGGAGATCACCTCAAAACCTTGCAAATTGAGTATCCACCATTCATGATAAGGTAAATACTTTGAGTTCTTTCCATATATCAAACTTTAGCTTCAGTTCTTTTTATATGAATTTTTCACAGGGACACTGCCAACTATCCACCATTGATGAAAACAAGCAAGCTCACCAATTCTCTCCACTATCTAACACAAGCATATCTTGGGCAAGTTCTACATAACTCTACCTACCTCATAATTCATCCTTCATCTTCTTTTGTTTTTTCAAGAAATCTCACCATTCAGGTTAAAAAGTTCAAAAAAATTATATAGAAAAAGAACTTTTTTATGATTGTGTTTGATAAATTTCAAATTAGGGCAATGGGGAAGAACAAAATACCTTTTATAATAGCGTGGAAACCTCTCGCTAACAAAAGCGTTTTAAAAACCTTAAAAAGAAATCCGAAAGGAAAATCTCATAATATCTACTAGCAATAGGCTTGGGGCGTTACAAATGGTATCAGAGCCAGTTAGGAGGTTGAACCCCGAAGGAGGTGGACACGAAGCGGTATGCCAGCAAAGACGCTGGACCTTGAAGGGGGTGGATTGTGAGATCCCACATCAGTTGGGGAAGAGAACGAAACACCCCCTTCAAGACGGTGTGGAAACCTCTCCCTAGCAAACCCGTTTTAAAAACCTTGAGGGGAAGCCCGAAAGGAAAAACTGTTCAAAGAGGATAATATCCACTAGTGGTAGGCTTAAGTCGTTACCTGCAAATTAGAACAAAGTTTCATTCTTATCTTGTCTTTAGCTGCTGCCTTTGTATTTTCATCTTTGATATATAAAGAGGATATTCTAACACAAACAGTTTGTATATATTACGATGAAAATGGATAACGAGTCGGGTGTCGTTTGTTTATGCAGATACGATATTCAAAACGGGAACAAAGATCCTTACGAAGATTGTGTAGCGACCATGAGGTTGTACATGAGAATGAGAGCTCAAGTTCATAAGATAGAGGAGTATCCATTGGCTTCTGACCCACAAAACAAGAATAATTTTGCAATTTGGAAGCAATTTGAGCTTGAAAGGATGAGCCCAGAACAGATGTTGGAAATCTCAAGATCTGATTACTATTGTTGGTGCTTGGACTCCAAGCTTAATTAGACCTTAATTAAACATTAAAGTTCATAAATCATATGATAAGTTTGTAATAAATATGGAGAAGAATGTGTGTATGCATTGCAGATTTAAATAAAACTCTCAAAATTATGGTCAAAAGCTATTTCGTTCCAGCTCTAAAACAGCAAACATCACAACAATGTACATTAAGCAAGATGAACAAGAAACATGGTGTGCAGATTTTACACAACTTATTTTCCCAAACACAACAAGGATTCTTCTCCGGTGCATTATGACAGAAAACTGATAAGAAACTTGCTTCTAAGGGATGGGATAAACCATAACTTTCCCAGTAGCTCGGGAGGTTTCGAGATAGGCGAATGCATCGAGAGTGTCGGAGAACGGGAATGGAGATTTGGGGTCGATGATCGGCTTCACCTTTCCATTTTCCAGGTAAGGTTTCAGTTTCTCCAACATGGCAGCATCTGAAGTGAGAAGGAAGAAAGCATCTGGAAATTCTGCAACTGGTGCAGCAATGCTTACGATATTCCCGCCTTCTTTGATCGCCTTCACGGCTTTATCGGGCTGGCCTGCAGTTTGAAAATCAAGACATGGATCACTTGTAGACATTTTCTCATAGACTAACAATCAGGTGGAGAAGTGTAACTATTAGATGAGTATGTTACCGACTGCATCGTAGACTACATCGAATTTCTCGGGAAGGTCTTCGAAGTTTTCCTTTGTGTAATCAATAGGCTGATCAGCTCCCAAGCAACTCAAGAATTCCTGTTTTGATGTGCTTGCAGTAGCAACCACTCTCGACGCACCAAACACATGCTTTGCGAGCTGTCTCATACAGAAACACCAAGATCCCATTAGCCAGCAATGAAGAAGAACAAAGCTCCGACTCCGCCAATGAATGTAGCAGCACAGATATCATTTACCTGTATAACATAAGCTCCAACTCCGCCAGCCCCTCCCAAAACAAGGATCGATTTTCCAGCAGAGAACCCAACCCGTTCGAGACCTTCATAGGCAGTTTCCATGGCAAGGGGAAGGCTGGCAGCCTCTAAGAAACTCAGATTCTTAGGCTTCAGAGCCAAAACTTTCTCTTCTGTAGCAGTATATTCTGCCAAAGTGCCAACGTTCTTTGGCTTATCTAGTGCTTTGTGATTTATATCTCCATATACTTCGTCTCCTACCTTGAACTTTTTCACCTCACTTCCCACTTTCACCACCACACCAGCAACATCATAGCCAGGTACTGACTGTAAGAACAAATCAATTACAGGAACAAGAACACACATAATATGTTAGTTCCCAAACTTCCCCACAATCTCATTAATTAGAGAAACCAAAATCATCTCAATAAGCCACCCTGATTTTGCATCCATTCAATTGTTAATCCACATTTTCTTTTGTTGTTCAACAAAATGATATGATATTGTCTACTTTGATCCGAATCCGTATGGTTTGACTTTGAGATTCAGTCTAGAATCTCAAAAGATGTTATGATTCCAGATATACCAAGACATTCTCATTAATGCAGAGGATTCTATGTTTGCAACAGGGTGTTAGATGAATTTCTTCAGGATCATATGAGAAACGGCAGAAAGAACTACACAATATGTACTGATGAAAAAGACCTTAACCCAACCCAGATCAGATGGTTTGGTGCATGCAAAATCAAGAACAGACCCAGAAAAGCTCAGATCAAAATAAAACAGCCCATGTAAAATTAAAAGAAAAAGAGTGGGAGAGAGAATGATAGCTGACCGGAGGGGAGTAGTTAGAAGCTTTCAAAATTCCATGGATTCTCTTGTAATCAATGGGGTTGAGAGACGCAGCAACGACCTTGACGAGGACCTGGTGTTGGTTGATTTGAGGAACAGGGAAATTGGAATCGAGTTTAAGAACATCGGCAGTGTTGCCGAAATCATGGTAGACCCAAGCCTTCATGTGGGTGGGAACAGAAGGAACAGCCATGGATGGGTTGGAGAGGGAAGAAGAAAACCCAAATGAAGGCGAGATGGAAATTTCTGAAGCGGAAAGGGGTCTAGTATTTATTGTCGGCGGAGGCTTCAGGAGTTGATGAACAATTGTGCAGGTTTCGGGTTTGGATCATCGGATTAATCCCATATTAATCTTAGGTCTTTGAATTCGATTATCGATTTGGACCCAATTGAATAATCTTCAGTTCCATGATTAATATTGTGGGTGGAAAGGAAACAGATTGAAAAGTATATTCATATCTTTATGGAATATGATTTAATTATCAAATGATCTTCGTCAATATATATATTAAATATAAATGCGCGTGTCAGCCTAGTCGCAGGTCTTAACTGGGGAAATCCATCTATTATTTATGATAATATATTTTTTTTCTTTTTTTCAAAAATAAACTTCCGTGAATATTTTTATTTTAAAATAAATCCGTCACTAAACACTTTTTTAATTATTCTATTTTCAATATGGCTATGATTCGGATAGATATCATATGAATTTCATATATCTCTCGTTTCGAGTGTATAATAAATAAATTTAAAAATATTTATTACTTTATAATTAGGATTCACATGGAAGATATCTTAAAATATTTAATATTTTATAAAATAATACTTTTATAAGTAAATTTTGGTGTTTGTTATTCGTATTCTTCGAACACAGTAACAATCCATTTTTTTTTTTTTTAATTTACAAAAGCTAAGATTTATTTAACATTTTTGTAAGCTAATTTTATTTATTTAATAAATTTCTTTCGAGTCTCTACATATTTAATATTTTTAAGTTAATAAATTATTAAATATGGAAGTAACTTGTCTAATTGTAATGGTGTCTAATAAAGTTTTAACTTTTTAATTTCATATATGATAGATCTATGAATTAAAAAGAAAATATCAAAAATTCATGCAGAAAAGTTAAAATCTATTAAAAACAAAATTATTAAAATATAAAATTTTAATTGGTTTAATATCTTGGACCTAATTTTAGGTTAAATTAATAAAGTTAATACCTTAAATTTTTTAAATACTCTAAATTTTTTTAAGAAGTCTAAAAAAATATTTTTAACAGTAGACTATTAATACTTTATTTCAAAAATACATTTAACGTTGAACTCAATTTTCTTTATAAAGTTCAAAAATACTCTTATTATTTATTAGTACTATATTTAAAAAATGCCTATATAATTTTAAAAATAACATTAACACCTTTAACTTTATAAAAAAAAAAAAATTGCAAAAATTATTACATGGCGAAAATCCTCCATTTTGAAACATTTAAAAAAAAAGTTTAGATATGCCTTTTTAATAATTTTTTTAGAATATTAATAAAACCCTTATAAACGACATCTTTTAAACACTTATTTTTGAAATTCTTTTTTAACTGGTTCAATGGGAACTTTTTAAATTTTAAAAAAATTGAAAAAGTATATTTTTTTTTAAATTTTCTAAAGTTTAAAATAATTTAAAGAGTTTTTAATAATATTTTTAGACCCTTTATTAAAATTAATTTAGCCTAAATAAATTGGTCCAAAATCAATAAATAAAAACATTTTGAGAGAAGAAAAAACTCAGATCTCAATATACTCCATTTTTAAAATTAAAAATGATGAAATAAAGTATGAAAAAAAAAGATTAAATGAATTGAAAATAAAAAAAAATATGGAGAATCGAAACCAAACCTAAAATTGACTAATCATGTTAATACCCACTAAAGATGGAACAAATATTTGAATGAATTTAATTGGAGGGGTGAATATGGAAATGTATGGGTTTCCATTCACCAACTCATAAAGAAGAAGGAAGCCAAGAATATTTAGATATGAATGTTGGGTTGAAGAAGAAGATGTATAATTAATTTTAGACCAACCTTTAAATTCTTGTTTAATACCCATCCAAGATAGGGAATCTAGGAGACACCCATCGTCATCAGTAAATGCTTTTTTTTCTTCTTCACTTTCAAATTCACCACCAAATCAACATTCAACACATATGTACATTAAAATTATATTATATGCTTTTTTTTTTTTTTTTATATATATGTTATGTAACCATCAAAATCGAATTATTGAGTGAAGTTTATCTTATGAATGCCACATTCTCCACTACTACGTACCATACTCTAATCCATTCCCTCTTTGTAAATTTATTCCATTTCAAACAAATATCAACTCATTCTAAAATTATTTTCATATTACTCTTTAACGTTCAATAACTAATCATTCATTTCATTTTTTTTTTAATTTATAAATTATTTCTCAGTTTTATAAAATCTTATTTGATAATTATTTAGTTTGTGAGTGGTAATATTTTTAAATTAAGTTTATAAAATCTTATTTGTTATATAAAAAAAATAAAGATTTTTTTATAAAAGAAATTCTATCTTTTATTTATTTTGATATAAACAGATGGGTGAAATAAACTAATAAAAATGCATTATTATATATAATAAAATGAATATAGTTTTTTTTTTAAAAAATAAAAATGATATAAATTAATTTGTTCTCTCCATCCTAAAAAAATTCTCTTCGATAAAACACGGCTTGTATACGATATGGAAAAAAAATACAATTTTACGAAACTTCATGATAAAAGAATTGATTCTTTTATATATATATATATATATATATATAATTTTTATTCTCGAGCTTTTAGTATAGTTGTTTCAAAATTTCAAAATAGTGTCCTAAAAAAGTTTTAAATTTAATTTTTATTTATTTCCTAACACTTAAAAGATACATTATATTTTAAGACGGTATACATTTTTTTTCATTACCCTTCATTTATTTTTTTTTTTTTTATCATTGATGTTAGTTATTTTTTATTAATTATAATAAAAATGTTCATTCCTATAAAAATTAATTAAAAATTGTAAACCATAATATTTAATTAATTAAGAGAAGTCGACCCAAAAAAATTAAATATAAGTATTAATTATAAAAAATTAAACTAAACTATTTTGAAATTTAAGGATTATTTGATAAATTATTTTCGAATTTTAGACTCTCATCAATAATCTATAAAACATTAGCCTTCTAAGATTTCTGATTATTAAAAACGGCATCCACACGTAAATTTAATTTTTTAGAAATCTCATTAAAAAAAAATTTGTGTTTCATTTTTGGGATTTAAAATCCTTATTTAATTTCCTCCATTAAAACAAAAGGTATTTTCCACTTTTCACCATTTTTTTTTCTTCAAATGGTCCCTAATCTTTTGACAATTTCATTTGTGTCTTTATGAAATCACTTTTTTATTTTTATTTTAAATAATTAAGTCCCCATTTCATCGTATATACAAAACAATATAAAATTAACAATATAGTATTTACTTTGAAAAATAAATGAAAATTTTAGCTTATTATTGTAATTATACACCAAACTCTTGCACGTGCGAAATAATACATATGTTACCAACAAAGGAAAGGATAGAGAGGTAAAAAAGCCATTTTCCCTTTAAAAACTTTATTACTTTTTTAATTTTATCTGTATGGGAGCCCATTTTAAAATCATAAAATTGAATGGACAAGACAATTCTGATCGGACGGTTCAGATTTAACCTGCAAAAGTCGTCTGTAAAATAAATGTATTTATACATATTATTCGTAGTTTCGGAAAAATTCCAAGATTACAAGAGGATGGTTCCGAATCAGTAGGGCTATTCTAGTCTTTTCACATTATTGGGAACTATAAATTGCGGTCGGACCCCGACTATCAAGTTTACCCGCTGATAACAACCAGAGGTTGCACAGTGCGTCGTTGAATCAATTCCGCTCTGGGACTGATTTTCCGGTCGTCGGAGTTCCTGTTTTCTGATCAAACATTCGTACTCTCTCTTTTTCCATCTCTCTATTTCTCTTTAGTGTTCATTTTGTTCTTCGATTTTTCTCTGATTCGAGGTTTGTTTTTGTGTTTTTTTCTCAGAGGTTTTCGAGACTGACGAAGAGCTGGGTAATAACAGAGCTGGTGGTGTGATGGGGTTTTGTGTTTCCCCATTGGGAACACCGGCTAGGTTACTGTGGAGTACCAGCTTCTTCCGCCACAAGCTCATGATTTTTTAATTTTCAGCTCTGTCGCTGAAAATACCAAACCCCCATCTAAATCTTTTCTCGTTTTAATAAAGATCTCCCTCGATTGCGTGTTCCTCTGGCCAATCCGTAAATCGCTGGTGATCCCCTGTTCACGATACCTGTTTCAGATTTTAGAGAATAATTGATGATGACGGACGGTTTGATCTTCAACCGGTCTCCAGGTCACAGCAACATGCTGTTTTTCGGGAGTGGCGATTCCGTTCTTCGTGGTAATTTTCATTTAGTTCACTGATTAGTAGCGGAATTGATGAATTTTTCATTCGAGGGGGTTTTAAATAAGTATATCGAGATTAAATTTCTTTAAATTGTGATTCTGCAAATGTTAGAACCAAGGTTCGCGATGGGGATGGAGGAAACTTCAAAGAGGCGACCCTTTTTCAGCTCACCGGATGACCTGTTCGACGACGACTACTACGATGACCAACCGCCTGAGAAGAAGCGCCGGCTAACTCAAGAGCAGGTATTCAAGCAATTCTAGTTTTGATAATATAGCGCATTTATTTCATTAATTGTTTCGAATCAATGCTGATCTCATTGTTAGCAAGTTCTGTGATGAGAAAAAATTAAGCATCGTTCTTAGATTCTGAAACTTCACTCTTTCTCTAGATAAAATGCTAAAGGAAAATCCCCACAGGGGAATCGTGTACATGGCTAGTATAATTGGGTACAATATCAAGTTCATTTTGAGTATACAGTTTGTTTCTGTTATGTTTCTGGTTTTCTTTACTGTTCTTTTTTTTATCCTTCAATGTTCCATTGCTTATTAATTACTGAGACTGCGCACCTTAGATTTTTATAACAATCTTTACTGCTGATTAACCCTTATTCATGGCCAACGATTAGGTGCATCTGCTGGAGATTAGTTTTGAATCAGAAAATAAACTGGAGCCAGAGCGCAAGACTGAGCTAGCAAACAAACTGGGTCTGCAGCCAAGGCAAGTGGCTGTGTGGTTTCAAAATCGCCGAGCTCGATGGAAGACAAAGCAGCTTGAAAGGAACTATGATCTTCTCAAATCTTCATATGGTTCCTTTCGTTCGAGCTATGACTTTGTTGTCAAGGAGAATGAACGGCTCAAAGCCGAGGTATTTATCCCCACTGTAGTTTGTCATTTTGGCACTTTGGTTTTACAGTGGAGATTTTACCTTTGCTTCTGAACTGTTATTAATTGTCCATAAACCTTTCATATGTTTATGCCAAGTCTTGTAGATGCTGAAAACTGTCTTTGATGTGACATATTTTCTGGACACAAGTTTAAGTAGAATTCTTTGTAAACCTTTAGGATGGTGGCCATTTATCTTAGTTTCTTAAGATGACTCTGTAGTTTCGAGTTAATCTTACAAGTTTCTTAGTCACATTTAATCTAAGGACGTCTTGTAAACTTGTGGTCGTACAGTTGAGTTCGATTTTTTAGGCACGAGAAGTTAATCTGGCATAGGTTCATAACCCAATTCCAAGGATTGAGAGAATATATGGGTTACTTTCATAGGGACCCAGTATTGTTATATACCTACCAGTCTCTTATGCATGCTCAATTTCTGAACTCAGGTAGCTTCTTTATCTGAGAAACTTCTAGCTAAGGAAGTGGTTGAATCCTCGTTTCAAGCTAAGAAATCCGAGCCATTTTTGGAACACCAAATCCTTGTTCCTGTTGTGCAACATAGTATGAAGATTGAGGACCACCATAGTTGCAGGAGCAATGGAAGTGCCGTGCTGGACGAGGACGGTCCTCATCTCTTAGACAGTGGGGATTCGTACCTCCTGAGCAATGACTATAATGGCTGTGTTTTGCCCGTTTTTGGAATGAACTCGGAGGAGGAGGATGGAAGTGATGATGGTCAGGGTTACTTCTCAGCCGTTTATACAACAGACGATCAGCAGACTCATGAGGTAGAGCCTTTGACCTGGTGGGACTGGACGTCGTAATGCAATGTTCGAATCATCTCGATATGTAGTTGGGTGGAACTATAATATAAGGTTTACTGTTTGATACAGATGAATAAGGTTAAGGCTAGTGTGAATATTCCTTAGTTAATGCATGTGTATGGATAAAACTTGCATCTTGTACCATTACACTGTTGTTGTTGTTCTGTGTTAAGGCCTTAGTTGGGCACCTTCAGAACTGGCGAAGTTGTAAAAATCTTTGTAATGTTGACCTTTTCTTTTTCGTTTCACACCCTCAATGTGTTTATCTTTTAAGAGCTTCCTTTCACAAGCGTTAAGGCGTTAGTTGGGCACTTTAGAAAGCACGTGATTAAGAACCCAACATGTTAAAATGACTCATGTTGATATATTGGATAGTTTTCACTCTTAGAAGTGAGAAATAAATAATATGATAATCTCGTAGGGAAATGTTAGGACATGCTAAGTGTTGATTTTGATTTCAAATCCTAAATATGGGGTGTAATATATAAGTATTATAAGATCATGATCACCAGAGTTGTAGAGAATCAAATAGTGTATATCAGATTGTTTTTCTGTGCCTGAGATCTCAAAGAACAACATCCATTAAATTCATTGTATTTGAATAGATCAATCCCTCTAAACCCATTTTTTTTCAGAAGAACAAAGACACATGCTAGCTTGTTCCTCTCCCCACCTTGACTAATGAAACAGGAAAGACATTAAATGAAAAGGGTCATGTTTGCTGCAAATTAAATGAGGGTTGCTGTTAGAAAGATGACAAAAAGAGTAGCTGAAAGGATATAACTTCATGGCCATGGTGGCTATATTCCAACCTTTGAACTCATCTCAGTTCATAGTCCTTGCTTCTTCTTTAATTTAGACTCCCAATACCTCCAAAGCCAAAGAACCCGGCAAAGGAATTGAGTGGCCAAACAGTGAATAGTGGTTTTGGTCCCCAAACAGTGAATGGTGGCTAGATTCCTACCTTTAAACTCTATCATCTATCATCTCAGTTCATAGAAATTGTTCTCTTACATATTGCTTTTGTAATTCTCTCCAATCGATGCGTGGTCTTACAATTCATTTCTTCAAGCTCCAGCGTCTTCGCTAGCACACTGGGTAGAGAGAGGTTTCCACACCCTTATAAAAATATTTCGTTTCTCTCTCTAACCAATATGAGATCATACAAAATTTTGAATTTTGAGATCTTTTTATAACATAACATATGACCGACAAACAGTAAGAATAAGATTTTGTATTGACGAATTATACTATGAACTTTACATCCTCGTTGTTATTGAAAAATGGAAAATGGACCTAAGAGTTCACATACGAACAATATATATTAAGTTACACGTTATGACTCAAATTTAGAAGACAGGAAAGTAAAAAAAGAAAAAAAAATTATAAATATTAGTAATCCAATTAAGTTTGATAATTGATTATATGATATGTAAAAATAAAATAGTATTGTAGGACCCTATTTCCACTCCTTGACATGTGCTTTGGAATAGTGTTTTGAAATTTCTACTATATATATATATATATATATTTTTTTTTTGTAAGAAAATAAAGTATTGGAGAAAATCATGATCTAACTTCTCAACTAATATCAACTAATATCACGAAACAACAGTTCGTAGTTTACGACATTTTGAAGGTATATTTGTATTGTATCAAGCAAATAGTTATCGTTCTTCTTTTTATGTTCATTATTGTCCTCCCCTGATCATCAATTCTTCTACTCGCATCATACATTGAAATTATTGAATTTTTCTATTTGGTTTTATTTATCTTAAAATGGTCCACTAATTAAAGTTGACCGTTTTCCCTTCATCAAGAGACAACGGTAGTCATGTTAGTAGTCACATACATTTCTTCTTTTTTTCAACGGTTTTATTTGCTTTTACTTTCTTGATTTTGTTAGGGAATGAAGTGGACAACTCGATAAAAGAAATTTGATATGTTTTTTAGTTCAACAATGGAGGGACGAAAATATTGGAATCTCTAACTTCTTGGTTGAGATTACTTTGAGTAGATTGACTGAGTTATGTTCAAATTGACTAGAAATTTGATATGTGGGTTTGAAACAAATGAATATCTATATTCAATTATCTAAAAAGAATAAAATAATAGGAAACAAACAAAAGAAAGGATTATCCACCAATGTATTTATATCCTACTTTTCAAACAAACAAAGAACGTGTTACTTGTACAATCAATCTGTTCTAACAAAAATTGATTCCCCCATGTTTAAAAAATTTCCTTTTCCCAAGCTTAGTTATTGCAGTAACTGAGAAACAAAATGGATCGTAAATTCTAACAAACTATGATACTTTATTCATTAAAAAAAGCTTGAATCAAGCTCAGCCAATCAATCCACATAATAAATTCTGAACAACCATTGCTTTCATAGTTTTCTTTTCATTCTTCCATTGCTATCATTGCGAAGGAATTTTAAGCTTTTCAATCACAATGCATGTAAGTTGATACAGTACCCACGTTTCTCAGATTGAGCTCATTAAGTTCATTGTTCATTGTTCATTGCTTGTCTGCATTTTCTTTTGCAGTTTTCCTCCATGCAACTGACCAGAAAGCTTCCTTGCTTCAATTTTGGGACATTTTTCCTCTGAATTAGCCTTAATGGATCCGAACTTGATCTGGGGTTATCCTGAAAAGGTATTTTCATCTGTTATTTCAACAGATGGTTCTAGAAATCTGATCTTCTTGGCTTTATTTTGTTGCAGAGGGATTCATGGAGGACAATTTTCACTTTGGCTTATCAGGCTTTGGGGGTTGTTTATGGGGATTTGAGCACTTCTCCGCTGTATGTGTACAAAAGCACTTTTGCAAAAAACCTTCAGCACTCTGAGACGAATGAGGAGGTTTATGGGGTTCTTTGCTTTGTGTTTTGGACTTTGACACTTATCCCTTTACTTAAATATGTGTTCATAGTTCTTAAAGCTGATGATAATGGCGAAGGAGGAACTTTTGCTCTGTATTCACTGCTCTGCCGCCATGCTCGCCTTAGCTCCCTTCCAAATCAACAGCTTGCAGATGAGGAGCTTTCTGCTTATAAAAGAGATACACCTGAACCCACTAGTAATTTTAGTTTCAGTTCTTGTTTGAAAGCAACTCTGGAGAAATGTAAAGTTTTGCAGAGAATCTTGCTTGTTCTTGCCTTGATTGGGACTTGCATGGTTATCGGTGATGGAGTTCTCACACCAGCAATTTCAGGTGGCTGATTTGGTTTTTATGTTTTATTAGATGAAAAAATGTTATTCTAAGTTGGGAGGTTTTTGTTTTTTGTTCATATTGTGCAGTCTTTTCAGCTGTGTCAGGGGTTGAGTTATCCATGGCTAAGGAACATCACCAATGTAAGTTTCTTTTTCAGTTCATCCCTGAATTTTGTGATACCTTGATGGATCTGCTTCTACTGTTCCAATGGAGGCCAATTGATCTGTATTAGCTTTTGTATTATCTTTGTATCAACATGTGAGATCTCACATCGGTTAGAGAGGGAAACGAAACATTCTTTATAAAAATATGGAAATCTCTCCCTAGTAGACGCGTTTTAAAATCGTGAGGCCAACAGTGATACGTAACGAGCTAAAACAGACAATACCTGCTAGCGATGGGCTTGAACTGTTGCAAACGGTATCAGAGCTAGCCAGCCCCCAGGGGGTGGATTGTGAGATCTCACATAAGCTGGAGAGGGGAACAAAGTATTTTTTATAAGGGCGTGGAAGCCTCTCCCTAGTAGACGCGTTTTAAAACTGTGAGGCTAACGACGATACGTAACGAACTAAAGCGGACAATATCTGCTAGTGGTGGGCTTGAGTTGTTGCAAATGGTATCAGAGCCAGCCAATGAGGACGCTGGGCCCCTAAGGGGTGGATTGTGAGATCCCACATCGGCTGGAGAGGGGAACGAAACATTCTTTATAAGGGTGTGGAAACCTCTCCCTAGTAGACGCGTTTTAAAATCGTGAGGTTGACGACGATACGTAACGAGCCAAAGCGGACAATATCTGTTAGTGGTGAGCTTGAGCTATTACATTAAAATTTTAGATTCGATATCTTCTCAAATGCGAGGAAGTCAATGAGTAGAATTGCTGGTTTGGTTAGATATAGTCTTGAATAAGATGATCAAATTTGTAAAATGGTTTGGTGGAGTCGGCTAGTCTCTTGCTTTTGTCGTACTTTTTGGTAGCAACTCTTGAATGCTCATAAACATTGCACAAATGTAGGCAAGATTTTGATCATATGAAACAAAATTCCTGTTCTTATTGCCTTGTGATTTTGTTCTCTCATCTTTCCTTGTAGTAGCATTTACTTGTAACTTTTTTTGGTGTTTATTTCGAAAGAATGTTCCGTTCTGTTGCAGATATTAAAGTTCCTCTGGCATGTGCCATTTTGGTATTCTTGTTTGCATTACAACATTACGGCACGCATCGGGTCGGGTTCCTGTTTGCTCCAGTTGTAATTGTATGGCTTCTATGCATCAGTGCCATTGGTTTGTACAATATCTTCTATTGGAATCCTCTTGTTTACAAAGCACTCTCCCCATATTACATGTATAAGTTCTTGAAAAAAACCAAAAAGCAAGGTTGGATGGCGTTGGGCGGAGTCCTCTTGTGTATAACGGGTACGATGATGTTAGATCCAACCGCAATCAATTCTTTACGTCTGTTTCCTTTGTTTCTGATATGTTCGATTATGATTTTCAGGCTCGGAAGCTATGTTTGCTGATCTTGGACACTTCTCACATTTTTCTATCAAGGTACTAATCTGAAGCAAAACAATCCACGATAATATGATATTGTCTACTTTGAGTATAATCCCCCGAGGCTTTACTTTTGGCTATTCCATTGCCCTCATACCAATACAGATAGTGTTCCTTACTTATAAACCCTCGATCTTCCTCTTAATTAGCTAATGTGGGACTACTACTCTCAATAATCCTCAACAATCCTCCCCTCGAACAAAGTACACCATATAGCCTCCTCTGAGACCTCCTTCTCTAGAGCTCTCGAACAGCCTCCCCTTAATCGATACTCAACTCCTTCTTTGGAGTCCTTGAACAAAGTACACCCTTTGTTCGACACTTGAGACGCTCGACTCCTTCTGTCGAACAAAGTACACCCTTTATTCGATACTTAAGTCACTTTTGACTACACCTTCGAGACTCACAACTTCTTGGTTTGACACTTGAGGATTCTATTGACATTGCTAAGCTAATCGCATGACTCTGATACCATGTTAGGAACCATGATCTTCCACAATGGTATGATATTATCCACTTTAAGCATAAGCTCTAAAGGCTTTGCTTTTGGTTCTCCCAAAAGGCCCCATACCAATGGAGACACAGTGTTACTAACTTATAAACCCATAATCTTCCTCTTAATTAGCCAAGGTAGGACTACTCCTCTCAATAATCCTCAACACTCTTTAGCTTTTCAGGTTACGAGCACAATATTTCAACGTTTTCGTAACAATAAGTCACAATTCTGCAGCTTGCTTTCACTTTTGTGGTTTATCCATCCTTAGTTCTTGCATATATGGGACAAGCTGCTTATCTTTCTAAGCATCACAATCTCGACAACGATTATCGAATCGGATTCTATGTTTCTGTTCCTGGTAGGTTGGTTTTAGTATTACCTTTCTTTTTAGTTGAACCAAATAGGCCAATATGAAGTAATGTAAGGAGCTGCCTACGTCTTTTTGCAGAGAAAGTAAGATGGCCTGTTCTTGCAATAGCAATACTTGCAGCAGTTGTGGGCAGTCAAGCAATCATCACGGGCACGTTTTCGATCATCAAACAATGTTCTTCTTTGGGTTGTTTTCCAAGAGTAAAGATCGTTCATACGTCTTCGAAAATACATGGCCAGATTTACATTCCCCTCATCAACTGGATACTAATGATATTATGTTTAGCTGTTACCATTGGATTTCGAGAGACAGAACGCTTGGGCAATGCAGCAGGTATTTGTTCATTGCTAATACTTTTTATCATCTGTTTCTTGAACTTAACGACAAGTCGGTCTGTTTGTTTATCATTCAGGGTTGGCAGTTATTACCGTTATGCTAGTCTCGACGTGCCTAATGTCACTTGTTATTGTGTTATGTTGGCATAAAAGTGTCCTCCTAGCCATAGCCTTCCTAGTCTTCTCTGGCTCCATAGAAGCTCTCTACTTTTCTGCCTCTCTTATGAAGTTCTTTGAAGGGGCTTGGGTTCCTATTGCACTTTCACTGACATTCCTTGTGGTTATGTATGTTTGGCACTATGGCACTCTAAAGAAATATGAGGCTGATGTTGAAAACAAAGTCCCTATAAATTGGCTCCTTGGTATAGGTCCCAAAATCGGGATCGTTCGGGTTCGGGGGATCGGCCTTGTACATACCGAACTCGTTTCAGGGATCCCTTCCATTTTCTCTCATTTTGTCACAAACATTCCAGCCTTCCACGAAATTCTAGTCTTCCTCTGCATCAAATCTGTCACAATGCCTCATGTGAGGCCTGAGGAAAGGTTCTTGGTAGGAAGAGTTGGGCCGAAGGAGTATCGACTCTACCGCTGCATTGCACGATATGGCTACCGTGATGTGCACAAGGATGACTTGGAATTCGAGAGAGACCTCGCCTGCAGCATTGCAGAATTCATCCGATCCGAGAAAACAGAATGCAACACTTTCAGACACAATGACTTGGATGACAATGACGACAACGAAAGAATGAGAGTGATTGGGACTTCATCAACTCAACTAAACGGTATACAAATGTGTGAAAACGAATCATGTTCTTTGCCGATCATCGACAGTTCAGAGATAAGGTCGGAGAGGTTGAGGAGGAAAAGAGTAAGGTTCGTTGTACCCGAAAGTACGAAAATGGATGTCGATACGAGGAGAGAGCTGCAAGAGTTGATGGAAGCAAGGGAGGCAGGAATGGCATTCATAATGGGACATTCATACGTGAAGGCAAAGAAAGGATCAGGTTGGATGAAGAAGGTTGTGCTTAATTATGGGTATGATTTCTTGAGGAAAAACTCAAGAGGCCCATCTTATGCTTTGAGTATTCCTAATGCTTCTACTCTTGAGGTTGGTGTGGTTTATTATGTTTAAAAAATTGTAGTTTTGTGTATTCTTTTTTAAATATGAAACAATTATGAGCGGTTGAATTTAGCCCTAATTTGAAAGTTTAGGAACTTATTAAATATATTTTAGTGTCTTAATTAGATTAATTACATAAATTTTATAATTTTTGAAATAAAAATAAAAAAACATGAATTTTGATGGGTATTTAAAGCAATGGATCATGGATTCACAAAACCCAACAAAGAAGGAAATGGATGGTTCATATATATATATATATATATAAATACATACTTTGGTTAAAGTACAATTTGAGCATTAAAGATTAATTAATAGATTTTTCAAAGAAAACATTCTTTGAGAGAGAAAGATTAGAGGTGTATTACTGTTATTAATATTATTCCACACAATAATTGAGATCTGAAATGGAAAGGCACGTGATGGGCTGAGGACAACAAATCATTAAAAAACAAAAAACATTTTTCTAACATTTTTATTAAATTGATATCCTAATTACACTCTAAGTTTAGTTTGATCTAATAATATAATACTTGAATCGAATTGGATGAGTTTATTCAAATTTTTGTATGATATGGCCAATCAGATCGATTTTTCATTGAATGTTTGAATCGTCCCCTCATAACAAAGCTGAAGTTTACAAAAACTTGATTTTGAAGTTTTACGGGTTTTGGACCAAAAGCACAGGGAATGTTTCTTTATGTAGTCTTCTACCTTCTTTCTCTTTGTCCGAAAAAGTGATTTCTTAGGTTATTTTTTTAATAAAATTGAATTATATTCGAGTTGATGTTGATGGTAATGGATTAATATGTTTGGGTGTGTGCTGGCTGGTTGGTCTCACTCTACGCTCTACTGGCCCTTCGGCTCTGTTTCCGCCTTGGTTTTGTTTTGGGTTTTGGCCTTACTACCTCAATTTCTTTTTCACTCATTGGGACAGCTCTATCTCGTCAATTGCATCTTCTAAAACCACTAAACCTTCTTTGTCTCTTTCACTGTCATTCCTTCTGAGAAAAGGGTACCACATGGTTGATATGTAGAGGCCAAAACCGGTCAACTTTCTTTTCCTCTTTACTCCACTCTTCCTCTATATGTGTACCTTCAATCCCCCAAGTTTTTGAGGGTTTTCCCTCCTCAATCTTCCTCATTCTCGACAATGGCCAGGATTTCCCTCGCTTTTGCTCTCGTTTTTCTTCTTCTTTTTGGTGGGGTTTCTCCTGCTTCTGCTTCGCCTCCTGGAAGTAAGTGTATTTGATGATTATGATGACGATGAGGAAGAAGTAATTTTGAGAAGAACCCATGTTCTTAATCTTATGATTTTTGCATTTTCCCCCTCTTTAAATGCTGTCTATGGCTCACTCAGCTTACGGCATTTCCACTTTTTGTGCAGAAATTGTTCGTGGGGTTGTTTCCAATGTGGTTTCTTCTCTTGTGAAGAAGTTATGGTCGATGAAATCCACTGCCAAAACTGGTATGGATCTTTCTTAGCTGCCTTGGATAGGAAGTGGTCTGTAATTTTTTAACTGGGTTTTCTGCTTAATCTTCTCAGCTGTTTCCAGCCGTTCGATGATGAAATTTGAGAGTGGATATACGGTTGAGACGGTGTTCGATGGCAGTAAGCTGGGAATCGATCCTTATTCGGTCGAGATGTCGCCTAGTGGGGAGCTGCTGATCTTAGATGCTGAAAACAGTAACATCTATAAGATCTCAATGCCATTGTCTCGATGTAAGCATCCTTTTGGGTCACCATTTTTATGCCACATGATGAACATTGAGCTCATTATTTTTATGACACATGATTGGAAGTTTCAAATGGAAGCTTGTGTTTTTACTTTCTTGAGCTCTTGATTATTTTTTCTAATAGATTATTGTACTTTTGTTTTGAAGAAGGATCCACTTTTTGGAGTACGATGTACTTTTCTTAGTTCTGTCTCTTCTTGGCACTAGATGGTATCAGTTTTGGTCCTTTATTTCTTCCAAGCTTTGTTAGGCTAAAAAGAGAAGGCTATTCACCAAAAGTTGTGGCATACATTGGTCATTATCTGAATAAGACTTGGTAGTATGTTTTATGAAAGGATCTGTATGCATTACCTATACTTTTCTGATGAATTTGCTGCAATCTCCTCTACTGGGTGATGTGCAGATAGCAGACCAAAACTGGTTTCAGGATCTGCAGAAGGATACCCCGGACATGTTGATGGCCATCCAAGAGAAGCGAGGATGAATCATCCGAAAGGGCTTACTTTGGATGAAAGGGGAAATATATACATTGCAGATACAATGAATATGGCTATCAGGAAGATTAGTGACACTGGTATATCTACAAATAATCAGGATAGTTCGATATTCGATATTCGATTTTGTAGTAGTATCCAAATTAATATCTGTCTGGTTTAAATGTCTACGCGCATGGAACTCCTATCAGTGTTGAGTTCCATAGGGTGAAAACTCTTATATATCTCAAATAACTGCAGGGGTTACAACTATTGCTGGTGGAAGATGGAACCAAGGGAGTGGTCATATTGATGGTCCTAGTGAAGATGCAAAGTTCTCAAATGATTTTGATGTTGTTTATGTGGGAAGTAGCTGCTCTCTTTTGGTCATAGACAGAGGAAACAAGGCGATTCGAGAGATTGAACTTAACTACGACGACTGCAATACTCAATACGCTGATAGTCTCAACTTGGGTAGAACGAAAAACCTTACTCCTGCTATGCTCTTCATCTCTGCTATTTCTTCTTATGGTAACATGAAAAGTGTACAATCTCTATCTGCAGGGGTAGTGTTGTTGGTCGCTGCTGGTTTGTTCGGCTATCTGCTTGCTCTGCTCCAACGTAGAGTGCAAGCAGTGTTTTCTTCACCAAAGGTAGATCATTCCACAAAATTCATATTTTTTTCTCGTTTCAAAGAAATAACTATGTTGTCTCAAATATACATACATTGTTATGAACATCTGGGTGCTGCCATTTTGCGGATGGTAGTGGGTTGTGATTTTGTAAGTCTGATATTGTCCTCTTTGGGCAGATTTCCCTTTTGAGCTTTCCCTCAAGGTTTTTAAACACGTCTGTTAGGGAAAGTCCAAAGAGGACAATATCTGGTAGTGGTGGGCTTGAGTTGTTATAAATGATGTTAGAGCTAGACACAAGGCGGTGTGTCAACGAGGACTCTAGGGTCCCAAAGGAAGTGGATTGTAAGATTCCACATTGGTTGGAGAGGGGAATGAAATATTTCTTATAAGGGTATGGAAATCTCTCCCTAATAGACGCGTTTTAAAACCTCGAGGGAACCCATAAGAGAAAGCCGAAAGAGGACAATATGTATTAGCGGTGGGCTTAGACTGTTACAATAATGGTGTCAAAGCTTCTTGGAATTGGACTCTCGTTTCTGTTATGTTACAAATAGCTACTTTTCCTTCTGTCTTTGTGTTAAGAAAATTAATTTGATTGGAAATCTTCATTTGGATGAAAATGAAATGGACTCTTAATGCTTCGTGTTTGGATGGTAGGATGAGGATGTAAAAAGTCATCAAATGAAGAAGGCTGCACAAGCTGCCCAATATCAAAGACCTCCTCTCAAGTCAGTCAGGCCTTCCTTGATTCCGAGTGAAGATGAACCAGAGAAACTGGAGGAAGGATTCTTCGGTTCGCTTGGGAGGCTTTTCGTCAACAGTGGCTCGTCTGTAGCCGATATTGTTGGGGGATTTTTGCCTGGATTTCGAAGGAAGCCTCTCAATAACCAGATCCATCAGCAGTTTCAACAAGTCAACAGACATCCAAACTCTTGGCCCTTGCAAGAAAGTTTTGTGATTCCAGATGAAGACGAGCCACCATCCATTGAAACGAAAACTCCGACAATAAAAAAAACGTATCCATTTATGACACAAGACCTCGATCGATCTCATCAGTTCAAGCCAAACAGAAACTACTTCAATGGGTGGGACAATGGTGGTGAATTCCATCAACAGCAGCAACAGCCGCAGCAGATACATCATCAACAGCAGCAGATACAGCAGCAGCCGCAGCAGCAACAAATACAGCAGCAGCAGCAGCAGATGCAACATCATCAGCAGCATCATTATCAGCAATATCAGCAATATCACCATCGACAATACTCTGCAGGCCCGACAACATACTACGAGAAGAATTGCGAGACGAAAGAAATTGTGTTTGGTGCAGTTCAAGAACAAGATGGACGCCGTGAAGCTATGGTGATCAAGGCTGTTGATTATGGAGATCCAAGATATAACCATCACAACATTCGAGCTCGGTACAACTATACTGGTAATCCCAACTCTTATTGACAAGAAATAAAACATATATCTTTCAATGCTTTGAGTTGGTGAATTGGGGAATATCTGGGGGAGGAGTAGATTCAGGAGTTGGATATGCTTTCTTTGTTTGTGCCACAAGTCCAAACCATGTTTTTATGGCGAGGACTGAGGAATGCTAGTCTTCATACAGTTGTTCATGCTTCATATTTGTCGTATTCATATCATCGGTCGAAATTAAGGATACTTGTACTTGTTAATGTTGTATGCATATCGTTAGTTCATATCAAACGTTCTTCATACATCCCATCCCACCGTACGAACAAGTCGAATCCAGAACATGTTGGTTGTAAGATTCATTTCTGCCATTTTGAGTTTCTCTTGCAGCAAGTAAAAGAAAAATATCATGATGTTCATGTTCTAAACATTGCTGCCTCAGCTGTTTGATCATACCATTTGTTAAGGTATGATGGAACCATTTAGAAGTATTTGTAGGCCAAACTTGACAATGAAGTATCAAATGGTTGCATTGCAAGTCTACTTGATGATGCAGATAAAATTTCGCCAAATAATATAGTAAGAAAACTATACATCATGAAAGCAATAAAGCATTATAACATGAGGGGTTTGACATGCAACGTGAATACGATCATGGGCAACATGCCCTGGACAAGTATGACCGTGATGCCAAGGACCCTCCTATAAGATATGAAATTTCCTTTTCGAATCCAAAAGTTTTTAGATATGAAGTAGAGGAGTGAAGCGATCATAGAAAGTTGGTGAGGGTAGGAACGAAGCACATTGCATACTTAAATTAGGCGATGGTAGTGAGATCTCATTACTTTATCTCTATTGCATTTATGAACAAAGAATTAAAAGGGAGTGAGATGAAGAACGAAAATTAAGTGTTGAAAAAATAAACATCTAGCATTTAAAAAAAAAAAATTAAATTTTTTTAGAGGAGAAAATGTGTAATTATGATTAAATAAGTAAAGAGAATGAACCAAATTAGTTGAATACTTTTCAAACCAAACCCATGAAAATCAATGTAGAACATGTTATTATAGAACATGTTATGACATTTAAGAGTAATACATTGCTTAATGAACAGCCTTTGTTGATCAACTCAATTTTATTAATATCATTTTGGGTATATGTCATTTTCTCATAAAGTACAATTGAAAACAATATTAGTCAATTTGAAGCCTAATTTTAAAAATCAAAACTTCGATAATGGAAGTTCGCAAGTTACCATTCACACCATGGCGCTGCTTTCGGCTGCTGATGAATCTCCGCAGTAGTGACTTTCCAACGACATTGACTCGACCTCCACGCCACCCCACAACAACTTGAGCAACTCCTGCATTGTTATTGTTGGTTGATCCATCCAATTCCCGTCCGGCCAAAACGATTCCTTTATCACCTGTTTCGACGGTCCAAGACATACCCTCTTCAGCTTATGCCACCCTCTTTCTCTAGCCGCCCCCTTCCAGTCTTCGGCACTCGCCCTCGGCTTCTCCGACGTTCCCAAGAGGAAGTGATTGGTGAAAAGGTGAGGACCCTTTTCCCCTTTTGACTCTGTTCTTATCTGAGCACTGAATACTTGGTTATGGAATCTGTAATTATGTTTTGTTGAATATTACTCTGCTGCTTGTACGAGAAGGCGATGAAAATTGAACCCGTTTTTTCTTTATTGCCAATTAGTGTAAAGGAAACAGGGAAATTAGATACCCAATCGAATATATTCTTAATTAGAGCAGGGAATAAGCTAGACTATGAATGTAATGTGTGTAAAGAAATTCTACCTCATCTTAAGCGATTAGGTAGCTTTTTTTTAGAGGGGGTTTGTTCCGTGAGCTATATGTTGGAACTTCCTGTTTGTTTGAGTATTGCCATGGTTCTATGCTTTTCCCTGCATCTAAAAAACATTAGCTGTTTTGCAGCTTTGGAGAGTAGCAAACGTTGGGGGCCTTTGAATCTTTTAGACTAGGCTGAATCCTCAGGATATTGGAGAAGCAGGGGGCATCTAGTAACCATGGAGGAAGGTATGGACACATTTTATACCACTTTTGATGTGTTAAGCTATTCTATCATGTAAAACCAAAAAACGTTTGGGGGTTGTGGTGGGTGCTTTTGAAGGTATGGGAGCATTGAAATACTCGCGGACAGCCTATGAAGAGGCATTGGATGTACTGTTCTCGTTGATTGTCAACCGTAGACGCTGCGATAAATCTGGAGATCGGTTTGAGTTGATGTTTGAGTATGTAAAGGTATTACTGAAACTTAACACTTTATTATTGCTATAGTATACTTGAGCTGATGATCATTGAGTTGACTCAATATACTAGATGCTTGATTTAGAGGAGTCCATGTCGAAAATGAAGGTCATCCATGTAGCTGGCACCAAAGGCAAGGTACCATCTTCATCTGTTCATGCTCTTTCATTTGGATACTTCTACTTTTGTCCCATTCACTTTAACATTGTCAACTTAGAATTATCAAACTTTGCTCAGAAAACATCATTGAGTTAGCTTGAAAATGATGCTGTGTTAACTAAACTTTTTTCTTTTTTTGGGACTTACATAGGGATCCACGTGCACCTTTACCGAATCCATATTGCGTAAATGTGGCTTCCACACTGGCCTTTTCACTTCTCCTCACCTTATTGATATCCGAGAAAGATTTCGCTTGGATGGGTAACTATTGTGCATACTATGTAGTTTTGTTGTTCTTTTACGTGGTGAAGTTGGTCGACCGCTACTTTGTTTATTGAGATGATGCAGATGGTTGTCCTTACAGTAAATCCATTGATTTTTCGTTGTATCAATGACTTGCTTCACATTATCTAATTTTATTTCTGGAACTATTTTCTCGTTTTCCACTTTGGTTGTTACAGCATCGACATCAGTGAAGAAAAATTTTTAGCCTATTTCTGGTGGTGTTATAATAGGTTAAAGGTATTTTACTTGTCAATTTGATGTATTATTATTACTTTTAATACATAAGTTCATCTAATGGATCAAATATATGGTGTCTTTGAATCTAATTGTATATGTAAACATTATATGTAGATTCTGAGTTGCTTATTCTTGTAGTAAAGAGAAGTTTGAACTCTATAAAACTAAACTATGGGCTTCATTATTATTTTTTAACTGTGAATAAAGCATTTCATTGATATTTTGAAAGTTTTCTAGAACAATTTATTTTCTTCAGGATTATAAACAATTTGTTTTCTTCAGGAAAAAACTAGTGAGGATGTACCGATGCCTCACTTGTTTCGCTTCCTAGCGTTACTTGCGTTCAAAATTTTTTCAGATGAACAGGTTTGATGTGTTCTTTTTATTTTAATTTGTTTCTGGATAGGCTTTCTTTGCTCAATTTATTACTGGGATTATAATGATAATGCTTTATTGTCATCAATGAAGGTGGATGTAGCTATCTTGGAGGTTGGTTTAGGTGGAACTTTTGATGCTACCAATGTGGTATGCTCATTCTCTTTTGGTTTAAATATAAAGTATTTCATGGCATTTTAGATATTATTAGATCCCACATCGATTGGAGAGGGGAACGAAGCATTCCTTATAAGGGTGTGGAAACCTTTCCCTAGTAGACGTGTGTTAAAATCGCGAGGTTGTCGGTAATACGTAATGGGCCAAAACGGACAATATTTGTTAGCGGTGGGCTTGAGATGTTATAATGGTATCAGAGCCAAACACTGGGCGGTGTACCAGTGAGGATGTTGGGCCCCCATGGGGGGTGGATTGTGAGATCTCACGTCGGTTGGAGAGGGGAACGAAACATTCCTTAATAGGGTGTGGAAACCTCTCCCTAGCAGACGCATAAAAACTATGAGACTAATGGCGATATGTAACGGCCCAAAGTGGACAATATTTGCTAGCGGTGAGCTTAAGCTATTACAGATATAATTTGTTCTCATTAGAAAGTAGAAACCTTCATCAAGGTATAGCCATTTCATAGATTCTAATGTTTCAGGTCCAGGCACCCATTGTGTGTGGTATAGCTTCTCTGGGTTACGACCACACAGAACTTCTTGGTTAGCCTTCTCTCGACCTTGACAATTGTTTTCCTGGAAAATAAATGTTCGACAACTGTTTGCGTTATGGCTTAAGCACGAGCGTAGATGTTTTCTATCCTGTTTGATAAGTTTGATAATGTCAAGGTTTTCTTACATTGTTGCTTTCTTTCTGTTTTGAATTTATCTAATTAGGAAATACTCTTGGTGCGATAGCGTCTGAGAAAGCTGGTATCTTCAAGGTTTGCCTCAAGAAACTTTCCTTAAAGCATGAACGTCTAGGAATAATCAGTTCATTTTGTTTCCATCCTTTCACTTTGGTGCAGCGTGGGGCTCCAGCTTTTACTGTATTTCAACCTGATGAAGCCATGCATGTGCTTAGAGACAAAGCTTCCCAGTTGGATGTATGTGCAAAGCTCTTCCATTCGCTACTTAATGACTGTGTTGTTCACACTGCCTTATATTTGCACGTCCCAGGTACAACTTACAGTAGTGCCATCGTTGGATCCGGAGCTTCTACAAGGTCATAAACTTGGGCTTGAAGGCGAGCACCAGTATCTAAATGCTCGTCTTGCTATTGCGCTATCCTCCACTTGGCTTCACAGGACTGGCCGTTCCAATCTGTCGTACAAGGAACAGAGTGTAAGTTCTACATATGGGATTTGTCTTGAGTCTTCCATAAACTTATCTTGTGTTGTCTGATTCTTTTTCTTCTTAACAATATGTTACCAGGGGTCTTTGCCTGAGCAGTTCATAGAAGGGCTAACCACTGCCCGCTTTGAAGGGCGAGCTCAGATTGTTCCTGATAGATATAATGATATTGAAACCCCGGAAGATCTTGTCTTTTATTTGGATGGAGCCCATAGTCCTGAGAGCATGGTGGTTTGCAGTAGCTGGTTTTGTGCTGCAATAAAACATAACCAGGAAGGGATCTTAAATCATCAGTTGGATGATAATGGTACATCTTCAAATAAACTTCTTCAAGGATATGATAATGATGAGGCAAGGAAGAAATCTGTGCAGGTAGATTTCGACTTTAGCTCGACTTCTCCAAGTTCGTTTTATTGTTTGTCAAGAAAAAGGGATCATAAATAAGAAAGTTAGTTTCAGTTTGAAAACGTATTCATTTATGCAGCGCTTCAACTTCTTTAGATGTTGTTTAATCTAGTAGTGTTGGACATTGTAGGTGCTATTGTTCAATTGTATGTCGGTACGAGATCCACAATTGCTTCTTCAACCTCTGATCAAAACGTGCGCAAATAATGGTATGTATTTGTCGAACTCTTCAAACTGAAAAAATCTGGTGATCTGGTTAATACACAGTGTTTTTTTAGGATTTAAAAGAATGATCTATAATTTAGATACTAAATATAACATTACTCGGAAAATGGAAGCTATAGAGTAAGTTTTTAGATGATGGATTAACGTCTTACGTTGTAACATCTCATATTGGTTAGAGAGGGGAATGAAACATTTCTTATAAGGGTGTGGAAGTTTTTCCCTAGTAGATGCGTTTTAAAACCATGAGTTGACGGCGATACGTAATGGGCCAAAGTAGACAATATCTATTAGCAGTGGGCTTGGGCTTGGATGTAACGTTAAAAATAAGATATGCCAGAAATCAATAAAATTCCATAAAAGTTTGGTTATATGAACTCAGGGGTCCACTTCAAGAAGGCACTCTTTGTTCCAAATACATCATTGTTTAACAAGGTTGGAACCCATGGTTTAGCAGAAGCAAATGGTGAAGTAGACCTTTCTTGGCAGTTCCATGTTCGAAGGGTGTGGGAAAACATCATCCAATCTGAGAAAGGTATTATCTGTTTATGCTAGTGATCTTTTTCTAAGTGTTTGGAACCATTCTTTATCCTTTGACATATTAGGAGGCGATTCTCAAGGCATTGGTGCCATGGTTGAAGAAGAAAGTGAAAAACCAGAAGTGAGTGGTAAGAGCTGCGAGAACAGCGCAGTGTTTTCTTCTCTCCCAATGGCCATTAAATGGCTCCGGGATAGTGTTCTGCAGCAGAACAGGTCCATTCGACTTCAGGTGCGAATATTTTCGAGTATGTAGACATGGGCACGTTTGGAATGAAGAAATTTATGAGCTGTTCTAATATTCAGGTTCTTGTAACTGGTTCTTTACATCTTGTGGGAGATGTGTTGAAATTAATCAAGTGAAGGACGAGTCCTGTTTGGCGTCCATGGCGATGGGACTACGCTTTTACTCGAACAACGACATCAGCAAGAACTCGGTGCTAGAATTCTTTGAACATTCATGGTCTCATATTTGTTGTTTACAAGACTTGAGGTAATAATGGCCTTCTTAGGCTTCCATTTTTATCAGGGTTACATTTATTCTCTTTGGAATAATGAAAATGCCAAAAATATAAAAACTATACTTATGCATCATGTTTCTTCCTAATTATTATAATATATATATATATATAATATATATATCTATATATGACCCACCACTACCCAAGATCTAAATCTGACCATCATCAATTACTCATCATCATGTCAGCTGGATGACTAAATTGCCTTCCTACCTACTTGAGATATTAGTACAATCACGATTGATTGGACGGTGAACGAATCACTTCTTATGAAAGTGTAGCAACCTCTACTCTACAGACGCGTATTAGAACCTTGAGGAAAAGTCCGAGGAGGACAATATATGTTATCAGTGAACTTGGACTATTACAAATAGATAAAATACGTTGCATATTCTTTAAAGTTGTAGATTCGATTCATATCCTTCAATTGGAGTTTGGGAGATCTCGGCTCTTAGAGGTTTAGTTCGATTGAGGATTAATGTTGATGGACATGTTTTAGATATAAGCTAAAGTGGTGGGGATGTTATGGTATGGTGCAGGCCACACAGCTGGAAAATATGCCTCAACTTATTCCATCTGTTGCCACCTTAAAAACAACTAATAAGAGTTTTAGATTTATGTCTGATTAATTTTAAACAAATAAAAAATTAAGAAAAAAAAAACTATTTAAGGCATTTAGCGTAAATAAGAACTAATTTTTCCAGCGTGTTTTCCGTTTCTGGCTTTACCCTAATTTTTCTCTCATATATTAATAATTACTCAATAAAAACTGAGCCATTCGATTTCAAACTCAGGGAAGAGAGATTTTCTCTGAGAGGATTGATTTGCAGAAAACTTTTCTGCAAATCAATTCCATCAGATCTCTCTCCCTCTTTTAATGTCTGTTTCTCAATCTCCTGACCTTTCTTCCGACGTTAATGGCTTCCACACCGATGACCTTCTTCACGAGGCTGCCTTCGCCAGCCGTGGCTGCTGCTTCTGGCTTCCTTGCCTGAGGTCTAATCCATCGAAGACCTGGTGGGAGAGGATTAGGGCTGCCGACAATGACGACGAGTGGTGGCTTCGAGGCTGGAAGAGGTTCCGCGATTGGTCCGAAATCGTTGCCGGCCCTAAATGGAAGACGTTCATTCGTCAATTTCACAAGAATCGTCATCGCCAATCTACTTACCGTTACGATCCGCTCAGTTACGCTCTCAACTTCGACGATGGTCCAGCTCTCGACGATCCTTTCAGGGAGGACTTCATGCGCCGCGACTTCTCCATGCGATTCGCCTCCATTCCGGCCTCCGCCAAGTCGTCCATGGACCTCGGCAAGGATGGACCGTCCTTCATTTGATTCCGGATGGATATAATCATATGGCTCTGGAACCTCCGTGTGCTCGATTACTTCTCGCCGAAACCGCCGTGCGCGGTGGTCGTCGTCGTCGGAGGAGCGGAGGGGGGATTTGCTTTTCGGGGAAGCGGGGATTGTGAACAGTGGGGGTTAATTTGTGGCCAGCGTTACAATCTAAAAACTCGATGATTTTTTTATTTTTTTTTGTTTGGTTCTTCCGTTTTTATAAGATTACTTTTTCTTAATTATTATTATTATATTATAATTATTCATCTGAAACGAAAATTATAATAATTTTTTTTCAAAAAAATTTACAATACTTAATAATGTTGCAAATAAATAGGTGTTTTTAATATCGTGTGAAGATTTCAAGTTTAAATTATAAATTTAAACCTTTCCATGTTTGTTTGCTACGAGGACGGAGTTGTGTTGAAACTATGAAATTTATCCAAGACCCCACCTCAAAGGTGCTTTCTTAGATGCCCTCAAATCAATTATCAATGGAAAAAAAGACAGCTTATAGCTACTTTTTTACCTATTCAATGTCGACAAGATTAGGCACGTCAAGGAATAACTCAACTAATCACGTTAAAGAGAGGGTTGGCAGCTGAATTGATTATATGACAAGTATTTAGTTAGATGAACATGTTTGATTATATGACAAAGTAAGTAGTTAGATGAACATGTTCACATGGGAAAGACTAATGGATACCCAAAAGACTTTCGTTCATTGAGAAAGAGAGATGCCTATTCATTCTATCGAACTTCAAACCTTTCATGGATCCCACCACACTCTCTCTCGCTTTCCCCTTCAAAGCAAGAGGGGCCTCATAAAAGAAAAGCTTCTTCTATGAGGACAAGTGCCTTAAAAGGTATGACAAAAGTAAGAGTGCATGGGCCACTCATTCACACATCTTAGACAGATGACCATGCAATGGCAGAGCAGCGCTGGGCAGGGCAGTGAAAGACAGTGCTTTTGAAGCCTTCTTCTTCTCTGCTTTGGAAGATTTTAACTAACCTATGCAAATCTTACCAAACAAAACAAAACTAAAAAAAAACCCTATATGTACAAATTTCAAGACCATAAAGACAATAGAAACCATCGAAAAGGAAAATGAAACATTCTTTACAAGGGTGTGAAAACCTCTCATCTCTCTAATGTTTTAAAATAGCCTGACTAATAAAAATACTTAACGGGCCAAAACAAACGCTATCTACTAGTTGTAGGCTTGTGTAATTACAAATAGTACTAGAGGCAGACACTGGACGGTGTGCCAGCAAGAACGTTGGCCATCCAAAGGATGATGGATTGTGAGATCCACATTGGCTGGAGAGGAGAACAAAACATTTCTTATAAGGTGTGTAAACCTCTCACCACTAGACGTGTTTTAAAATCACGAGGGTAATGGCAATAGAAACCATGATTTAAGTAAGATCTACTACACGGGCAGGCGGAGTTCATTCAATTGCTCTAACTTTCTAAGAATCATGTTGATTGCATTAGCGTTCAAGACATCACTACTCTTCCCATTCTACACATTCTATATTGACAATCATTTGAAACTCAAAAAGGATATGATTTATGGTTTCAGTGGTAGGAAGAGTTATGGATGGATACCAACACTTTTGTTGTAATCAATACCTCAGAAGTTAGCACCAACCAAATCTCAAACACAAAAATGTAAATAGATACAACAAACATTCAGAAAAAAAACAGAGTTTTTGAGGCCATTTTTATGATGGCCCTTGTGTTTGCCTCAACCATGGCAAGTCTGTATTAAGAGAAGAATCCATACCTATCTGCGGCAAAGTAGAACTCAAATGCTTCCCCTTTTTAGACCAAAGCCAGATCTTCGAAACAGAGTAACTCTCTCCTTTAGCTACACTATTCAGCTTCTTCCCATCCAAATCTGCAATGCCCTTTGCTGTCCCTTTGAAGGGCTGTTTATGGTCACCCTCTTGTTGAGCTCTAGACAAGGGAACTCTGAGCTCAGCGTCTATAACAACGTATTGATATGATCCCATTGAGTAACATCTCCTAGCATCCAAGTTGCTACTACTGGTCTCTCCAACTTCGGTCTCTACAGCCTCAGCTATGTTCATTCTTCTGAATTTTCCAAGCTTCACTGGGAAACCTCCTTTTTCATTCACTACCTCTTGAATCTCCATTCTTTTTTGACAATTAGGCAACCTATGATCAGCATTACCAACACATTCAGCTTCTTCTCCCAGTTCATCGAAATCGAACATTGGATTTTCGATCGAAAAACCGGGGTTAAATAGTGTTCCTCGACAAAGAGGGCATGTCGAATTCGACAAGAGCCAAGTGTCTATACAATTGACATGGAAGGCATGGCTGCACATAGGAAGTAATCTGAGTTGGTCCTTCTCAGAATACTCACACAAGCAAACAGCACAATCAAATGGCTCCTTAAGCCCCACTATCTCCTTATACTTAAAAACAGGAAGTGCGTCTATAAAAGCTTGATCTAAACCAGAATCATGGAGATGGAAGAGCTGCTGAAGCTGTCTTTGAAGTGCATCAGAAGGAGAAAGTTCTGGGTTCCTGTTGGATTGAGAGGAGGCTGAGGAAGATGGGTGCTTTATAAGGAATCTAACAAGAAGATGGAGCAGACCAGAAATGAAGAACAGAACAGCCAAAATCACTATGATAAAAAGAACTGCTGGACTTATCCTCGTACCGGACGAGGTTGCAGATGGCGCTGCTGGTGGGGTAGGTTCCTTATTGTAAATTACATCAAAAGGGGAAGAAGAAGAAGGCGGCATGGGAGGAGGGTAGCTCAGAAATCCATCTTTCTGAAAGATTTGATGCCGAATCCGAGTCATTTTCAAATGGGGTTGCTCCAGAAACCAATTTTGACATTCCAGAGATCAAAATACTAAAATTAAAACCATACACCCTCCTCTTCTCAGAGATCGAACCAAGCCCCAAAATCAGTGAACTACAACAATGCAAAAACAAACAAAAACCCTAAACCAGAGGCGAAAAGAGAAGATGGGTTTTGAAGGGGATGGAGGGTTTTCGGTTCTCCGTGTGTTTTGGGAAGAATGGGAGATACCCAGAAGAGTAAAGGAGAGGAGAAGGAAAAGAGGCGGTGGGTTGGGAGATACGCGCAGGGAGAGAGCGTGGGAGAGGGATTGGTCAACCATGGGAGACAAAGGGAAGTGTGAAAGAGTTGGGGTTGGAGAGAAGGGGTGGAGCAGATTCAAGCTCAACCATCGCGTCCATTGTTAATGGAAATGACTGGATTTGAGACAAAACATGATATAATAATGGAAATAAGAACAAAATTCACACCCAAATTCATGCTTTGTTTCAAGACATTACTTGGAGTTTGGGGATGTAACATGTGAATGTTCTTTTTTTAAAATATAATTGGGATAATATAAATGTATTGATTTGACTGTGTTGGAAATTAGGGAGTTTTAAAGTTGATAATAATATTTGGAAAGCATAATGGTTTTCCTTTTGAAACTAAGTGGGAGGGAAAGCAAATGAATACCAATTTCATTACAACTTTGGTTCATTTCTTTGCTGGCTTTGAATGGAGTTTTTTCCTTCTATTAAATTCTAAATTCTTCCTGGATTATGACTAAATAGGTTTAGATTAAGGAGATAATATAAGTATGCAATAGTTGAGTTGTTATCCTAACCTTTTTAACTACTACTGCAGCAATCAGTGAGCTAAGCCTCCTAGATTTCCTCAAGCATCCCGAGGAGAGAATGAAGCATTCCTTATAAAAGAATCGATCTCCTATCCTCTAGGATTTCATCTCGTAGTAGGGCCTTGTGGGCGATTCGTCTCCACAGACGAGAGGGTTTCCCATGAACCTGTTTCAAACAAAGTAGGTTGGGCTTGGGCCTGGATCCACCTGCTACTAACATGTCACACCATCTACGCCTTCCTATATTATATTATTAGAGGTAACTATATACTATACGCATTGGACTATACTGGGAAGGCATTACCTTCATATTCATATTATTATTATTTATGGTTGTGACCTAATGGCCTCACACGAGTTAACTTCGAGTTAACTTTGAGCTTATAAGTAAAGTATTATTAGTTCATGCTGCTCGATAATCCAATAGAAATTATAAATATCAATTATTGAGTGAGGTAGAAAACTGGTTTAAAATAGTAAAACGGATTATTATTTCCATTTGGAGCAAAAATATTAAAAAAGTAAAAAAGGGAAGAGTTTGGTGTCCTAATATGCATGCAACAAACCGTCCACAGATGGGTCTCTTTATTACATCATTTCCAACAATTTTTGTTTGTTTTTTTTGTTTGTTTTTTTTACAATAAATATACATTTTTGAGAGTTGATTTATATATAAACCCTCCGCTCCGGACTCTGTCCAGTTGTCTTCAATAACAGAGCATTTCCCCACTAAACTTTCTACTCTGCATCAAAGTCGCCATGGCGGGAAGTTACTTTATGGAAGGCGTTCTGCCATTTCCGGCGATGGTAACCATGGAGTGCATCAACGTCGGTCTCAACACTCTTTTCAAAGCCGCCACCGCCTCCGGCATGAGCCACCACGTCTTCATCGTTTATTCTTACTCCCTCGCCGCCTTCTTCCTCCTCCCTTCTCCCTTCATCTCTCGCAGGTCTTCTTCTCTCTCTTTCTCGATTAATTCTTTCTTTCTTTCGATCAAGTAATTTTTCGATTTTCATTTTGCAGATCCACGCGGCTTCCACCGCTCAATTTCTCTATACTCTCGAAGATCGCTCTTCTCGGACTCATCGGGTGCTCCATCTCTGTGACCTAATTCATATGGAATTTAATTGATTTTGCTTTTGTTCGAAAAATTGAATTGAATCGGAAGTTTGTTTGCAGTTCTTGTTCGCAGATAATGGGATACACGGGAATCAATTACAGTTCTCCGACTCTTGCTTCCGCCATCAGCAACCTTGTTCCTGCTTTCACTTTCATTCTCGCCATCATTTTCAGGTTCCTCTTCCCCCACTTCTCTCTCTCTTTTAATACAATAATTGAAACCAAAACTTATTTAAAAATATATTAATTTATATTATAGTATTATAATGAATTGTGTGGATCATAAGATTACCTCAAATAATACTGATTTCCATTTCCATCTTTTACACTCAAATTCATTATTTCTTTTCTATATATATATATATATATATATAAAAGTCTATTCTATTATGTCTTATTATTAAAGTGCCCACACTACAATTTTTTCAACAAGTGGGGCCACCTAATATTTTTTGTTTTTTCTTCCCAAGGTCAGGCTTCCCTTGAAATGTGATGAAAATATTAATAAGATGTCTATATTAAACTATATTTAAATTTAAATCGATCCACTTCTTTTATTAATTTAGAAGTCATGAACATTTAAAAATATCGGATAATTTTCATCACAAAAGTTCATCTAATTAAAAATTTTAATCCATACTTTTATTTTAACTTGTTAGGAATTAATCTTATATCTAATAACGAAAGTTATGTGATTAAAATTATTAGGAGATTGTCACAAACTTACTTTATTATTATCAAATTTAATGTTGAACATCAAAATCAATCATTAAAATATCCATTTTATTTTTGTCGTTTTTTTTTTGCTTGTAAAGTATGAGGAGCATGTATAACACACGTCTGTGTAAAATCCTGAGCCTTTAAGCCACAAGAAAAGTGGTCACTTGCCAAAATGGAGAAAGATACAGAGAGGCTATCTCTGCCTGACCAATTAGAAAATTTAAAGATGAATTGAAATTTGTTTGATAAGACACTTTTATTCCTTTTTATGCAAATTATTGGTAAATTTGTTAAAGTTAACTTGGATGAAGTCGTGGAGTTCTTATGGCTTCTTCATCTGAATAATTCAAGAAAAAGAATCTGATAGTGCATGTGAAGTGGTTTTGTCCATTAAAAATAAGATAGGTTGGTTTGTTATCCTTGTGATTCAATAATTTGATTATGCGTGTATGATGAAAGGATGGAGAAAGTGGTGATGAAGAGCAGTAGCAGTCAAGCAAAAGTAATGGGCACCATAATATCCATATCAGGTGCATTTGTAGTTACTCTTTACAAGGGTCCAAGGGTCATATTCTCTTCACCACCCACATCTCTTTCCCTCCATCATCCACTTACCTCTTCAGATTCTAATTGGGTCATTGGCAGCCTTCTCTTGACTGCTGAATATATCTTGGTTCCACTTTGGTACATTGTTCAGGTAAATTTCATCGTCATATTCTTGTAAGATCTCAAGTCCATCTCTAACAGATATTGTAATATTTGGGTTTTTTTTCTTAAGAGAAGAGGTTTCCACACCCTTATAAAGAATCCTTCGTTCTCCTCTTCAACCGATGTGGGATCTCACAATCCACCCTCCTTCGAGGCCAGTGTCCTCGTTGAGAGTGAGATCTCAAATCTCGAGGGGAACGAAACATTCTTTTTAAGAGTGTGAAAATTTCTCCCTACTAAACACGTTTTAAAAATCTTGTGGGGAAGCTCGAAAGGGAAAGTCAATGATGACAATAGCTGTAGTGCTGGGCTTGGGTTGTTGCATTCTTCTTGCTTAATATATGTGTACTTTCATCCAAGTACACTTTATGTTTACTGTGTCGCAAAGCTCTCTTCAGGCGTGATCCTGTCACTCTTAGAATTCTCTCAACCTCCCAAGTGTGAGAGGCTTCAATTTTTTGTGATTTTGGTGTGTTATAAAAGTGAGTGGTCTAGAAAGTGTAGTACATAAAAGACCAGTTCCAAAGCACAAAACCTTTAATTGGATGTTCCCAAAACGTGTTCGACGGCTGTTTTTTGTGAAGAAACTTCAATATGAATATAACCAACCTTGAAACTGTTGAACATTTTTTCAGACAAAAATAATGAAGGAATACCCAGAAGAGGCAACAGTGATCTTCTTCTACAACTTAACTGTGGCCTTCATAACTGCAGTTGTAGGTGTGATCTTAGAGACAGATCCAAGTACTTGGATTTTGAGGCAAAATACAGCGTTGGCCTCTGTTTTATGCTCCGTAAGAACCAAGAAAAGCCACTCTATACAATTCATTTCACAATGATATCTAACAGAACTTTGTTCTTTTTTTCTTTTCTATACTTTCAGGGACTTTTTGGATCATGTTTGAATAATACAGTTCATACATGGGCACTCCGGTTGAAAGGGCCGGTGTTTGTAGCGATGTTTAAGCCATTGTCGATTGTCGTCGCCATTGTAATGGGTGTTCTGTTTCTTGGTGATTCTCTATATCTTGGAAGGTATGACAACAAACAGAGGGAGAGTTCTGGAATTAGCTTTCCCTTTTGTAACTCTAAAACCTTAAGTTTCTTGCATGAATTCTTCTACCACTTAAACTAACTTGAAGAAGGTTAAACTTTGGCTGTGTTGCAGTCTTATTGGAGCATCCATAATTTCCATAGGGTTTTATACTGTAATGTGGGGAAAAACAAGAGAAGAAGTGGGCGATGAAGAAGAAAAGGAAAGGCATGGCCATAATGTTAGTGATGACAAGGAGCCACATGAAGATCAGAAAGTACCTCTTCTTGGAAACTATAAGACACAGAGATACAGTTCAGATCATGTATGAAAAGGCCATGAAAATGATTGGTACAGCTTTTATTTACCTTCAAGCATTGGCTATGGCCAAACATGGAAGGAAAAATGTAAAATTTGTTAGTGGTCAAAGCATGTCATAGGGTTGTAAATATCTTTAACATCGACCATGTAAAATCAAATGTGATAATCAACGTAATTTTAAATCATTAGCGCTTATGCATACAAACGAAATCTATTGTCTCATAAGATACTATAAACGGACTTGATTTGTTACTATACTCATTAAATAAAGATTAGCTTAATGAATTAGATATAGAAAATTGATCTCACATGGATTAAAGAGAGGAATGAGTGTCAGTGAGGACGCTTGGTTATGAAGGAGGTGGATTGTGAGATCTCACATCCATCAGATAGAAGAGAAGAATGAGTGCTCAAGGACTTTGGACTACAAAAGAGGTGGATGGTGAGATCCCATATCGATGGGAGATAGGAATGAGTGCCAACGAGCTGTTGGTTCCCGAGGAGGGTGGATTGTGAGATCCTACATCGATTGGAGAGAGGAACGAGTGCAAGAAAGGAAGTTGGACCCAAAAAAGATGAATTGTGAGATATCACGTCGAAAATTGGTAATACCTAACAGGTCAAAATAGACCATGCTAGCGGTAGGAGATAAAAAGAAACAAATTGAAATTCAAATTCGTACTCAACCTTAGAAGTGTTGAAGAACAATTGGGTCTACCAAACGGGTTCAAGTTCAACGCTGGTTGGCTCGGAGGTTTAAGCGGGCCGACCGATGCCCACTTTCCCTCGCTCTTTCCTCCCTCTCTCCATGTGTCTTCCTCGTTTCGATCCACTCGGCGGACACCAAATCTGGTTCGGCTCTTAGCAAGTGGCTTTCCAACTCCCACGGTCTCTTGCAGAGCCTTTCCCTTGATCCCTCTTTCAATTTCCCATCCATTTTCCACTCTTAGCTTCACTTCAACGCTTTACCTGCCTTTGTTCTTCCACTTCTCATCCCCTTTTCGCTAACCTTCTGAAACTCTCGTCTTCAAATTTGTATTTTCCATTTCTCTTTTACCTCTTTCTCGTAAATTTAGGTTTTTGGGCATCTGGGTTCATCGATTTCTTCTGGGTCTTTGTGTTGTATCTCTAGGGTTTCGAATTTCCTTGTTTCTGGGTTTCGTTTATTTCTCCCCGTTGTTCACTAATTTAGTTTGAGGAGTTTGTGTTCTAAGGCGATGTCACAAGGCTTTGCGATCGAGCTCTATTTCGATCCGGCACTTGAAAATCAGGTTCTCAAGGCTTGGAATGTACTAGCTCGCCGTCAAATCAGTACCCAACTCATCGAAATTGAATCGCGCCCTCACATTACCCTATTTTCTAGCCCTTTCCTCGAACCCACAAAAGTTGAATCCATCGTTAAGAATTTCGCTTCGAAACAGGAACCTTTGCCTTTGTCCTTAGCGTCAATTGGCAGCCTTCCCAATGACAACAACATTCTCTTTCTCGGTCCAGCGCCTTCGATTTCACTCCTCCAATTCCAGTCCCAGTTGTGCGAAGCAATGAGGAAAGAAGGAATTGAAACTGGAGAGGAATATCGCCTTGGCTCGTGGATTCCCCATTGCTCTGTTGCTCAGGAGGTGCCCAAGGCTCGAATGGCTGAGGCATTTTGTGTTCTAAGGGATTTGAAGCTACCAGTATCCGGGTATGCAATTGATATTGGGTTGGTGGAATTTTCCCCTGTTCGAGAGCTCTTCTCTTTTGTTCTTGGCAACACTCTCGAAGCTTGAATCTGATAGTTCTTCCTTATGAACTTGTACAACCTTAAATTTATTGTAGCTGTTTTAGAGGTCCTGTTTAGGCGCTAGAGCATTACAAATAAGGATGCATTTTGTATTTCATGTTATGAATTTGATCTCTTTTATATTCAAGTTGAATCTTACTTGCTAGTTCATTTAATAAACACATTGGATTCTGTTGAAACACGAAATGAATGTTAAAGGTTTAGGCCTTTCACATATAATTGCTCTTGGATAAACGATTGTACTTGCAAGTTGCAGTATGCAATGCATCATGAACACCAAAGTCTTATTAAAACTTTCTGCTCTAGATCTAACTCAAAGAGGTATTTGAATTAAACAATGCTTGGTAGATTTCAATCTCATATGTTTGTTAATGAATCTTTGATTCAAACCATATCTTCATGGCCTAACCTTTCTGAGTTTCTCCGTTATTAGTTCATGTTCGTCTCCACTGTATTCATGTCGGTACTCGTGTTTCTTTCTCGTAGAAGCATATGCTTTAGCTACCCTCGTTCAGTCTGCCATTGAGGTCGTCGTGGGTTGATCTGATTCATCTGTTTCCTGAATTATCTATAAACATTCTCTGATTAGTTGTTTATTCTGTATGAGTTCATCAATCGCTTACTCGATACATTTTGATATGCCTTAGATCACGAGAGACTTACTCCATAGAAAACATGGAGGCTTTCAAGTCTTTATGCCTCGTGAGATAGCTACAAAAGTGATATCAGGGGCTCAAGGAATAAGTTCTAAGTGATGATAATGATGATGTTGAAAGCGATATAAGAGCATTCTTTTTTTTAACTTTTGTACTTATTATATGATTATAATGTTTATTGAATAGTTCATATTCATGTTTTTCTTTCAATTTAGTGAAGATAAACTTCACACCTAATGGACCACTCAGATTGCTCGTAAGGATGAGTTTTTTGAGCTTCATGTCTATATAAAGGCCAAGGAGAAGACGTGCAAGTAAGCTCTCTAACCATATTGAAATGTTATCAATTTTTAGAGTGTCGTATTGGCTTTAGCAAGCCAACGCCACATCAGTGTCCTAACTCTTGGAGTTGCTTCTGTAGACATGGCAAGAACCAAGCAGGCATCCCTTGGACATGAAATCTTATATAAAGTTCATGGTCATTCGAAAGTTCGAATGTTTTTTAAGTGTAGTTTGGGTAGGATCCTAAGGAACATAGAATATCAACTTTCGGATGTTATGTTTTCGAAGGAGGAAATTTGATGTCGTGGAAGAGTAAGAAACATAATGTTGTTTCATGTCCTAGAAAAATAGAGAGCTACGAGTCATTTAATACATCAAAATTGCATCTAACTGAGTGTTTCATGAGCGAACTAAACATAATAAAGTGAATTGTCATTTCATTCTCCAGAAAATACAACACGGATTTGTGTTCATAGGATATAAGAAGACTCGAGAACAACTGGCTGACAAATTTGTTCGAGATTAGGGGGAGTTTTTTTAGTATATATTATAATGTAAATTCTCTTTTTCTAAATAAAAAGAAGAAACAAGAACAACATCAAAATAACTTCTCTCTTAGACTCAGAATTCCCATTATTTTGTGTTTGAAACCCATATACTAACAATACTATATCGTATCATTATATTGTACAAATTTACTGAACAGAAAACCTCCAAAATCTTTATCTACCAATTTTCAAACACCAAATACCCTTTTGAAAATCTGTCATTTTTAGTTCATTTCTGCCCAGTTTTTTTTATAAGGGCCTAAAACACCAAAAGAAACTTCATCAAATTCACTCCAAATGGTACTTTTTCAGTTCATTTGCTCACCAATCAAGTCAAAACCCACCGCCAGGAATGACAAACCTTGGAATAGCAGGAAGTAGAAGTGAACTCCATGTGCTGACAACAAGCTTCTAGCTGATGCAGTTAGCAGCAGAAAAGCAAGAGCCAGTTCTTTTCTATACACCTTGTTTCTCTTCTTCTTTGAACCCATTTGCTTCTCTTGTTGGTTCAATTTACTCAACAACTTGAGTCCCGACTCCGAATGTCTCCTCAGAATCTTCTCCTCGTTTGTAGTTTTCGACTCGCGCTCGGCAAATGCCAGGAAGTCGGATTCGGATGATCGTCCTGTCTTCTTAGTCACAATCCATTCGTATGAACTTCCGAGCTGGAATAGCCCCGAAACCATGGCATTGAACTTTGTGACAGACATGGTGTTCTCAAACAAGAGGTATGGGATCAAGAAAGGGAAGGATTTAGGGGATGGAAGAATGTTTAGCAGTGACATGAAGACTGGGATGTAGCAGATTACCCAGAGAGGCAATTCTGCTTCTGGAATAAACATTGTCAATGGAAGTATGACACAAAACAAAGTGAATGAGTAAAAGGGAAGTATGAGTTTTCTCAGGAGAAAGAACAGGAATATCAAGTTCGTCTTCTTCCATATTGATATCTGCACAAATCCAAGCGATCGGTTTAAGCTCAACGAGTCGATCATACGACATAGGAATGTGTTTGAGAGCTTACCTTTGAAGTAATGATGGAAGGAAGGCATAATCTGAAGAGCTGCATTGGACCAGAATGCCAACGGTGTTGCTGCTTCTTGTAAGCTTCATATGATTCAGGCAATTCACACAGCACCTTGACATCATTGAGGAAGATGAATTTCCATCCCTTCAAGTGAGCTCGAACTGCAATATCCATATCTTCCACCGTCGTCCTCTCGAGCCAGCCACCAGATTCCTCAAGCGCTTGTGTTCTCCAAACGCCCGCCGTTCCATTGAATCCAAAGAAATTCAGGAAAGCCCCATTAACTTGCTGCTCCACTTCAAAATGGAAGCACAAGTTGATGTTTTGAAGTCTTGTGAGTAAGTTTTCGTCCCGGTTAACGAACGCCCACCGAGCCTGGACGAGACCGAGTTGAGGATTTCCCTGTTGACATGTTCAAAGCATGTAAGCAAGCTTCCACAAAAGCTTCCATTGATTAAGAAAAGTTCATAAGTACCTTGAAATGGGGGACAGTGAGTTTAAGGAAATCAGGGTTGGGCTGGAAATCAGCATCCAAAATAGCTACAAACTCATAATCTTTAACATAATCACAAGCCATGGCGGACATGAGATTCCCAGCTTTATACCCAGTTCGGATCAATCGATGTCTATAAACAATATTAACACCCTTTGAATTCCATGACAGAACTTCTTCTTTGATCAAACGCTGAAGATTTCCATCGTCTGAATCATCAAGAACTTGAATCAAAATCCGATTCCTCGGCCAGTCAAGCTCACAAGCAGCAGCAATTGATTGTGCATAAACCTATTTCAATGGTGATAACAAATCACAACAAATCAGATCAAGTGTTAGTGCTCAAAAGAGAAATCAGGGAAGTTTTCGATTCATTACCTCTCTCTCATTGCACATTGGGATTTGAACTAAAACCATCGGAAAAGTTGAAGCGTCTTCCAAATCATAAGCGTCATCTTGAATGATGGGTTTGATTTTCTTGAATTTGATCCAAAAGCAGCCAACACAGAGAACGAGGCGATCAAGAGATTGGATCATGAATAGAACAATGCAGAATTTCGAAAGCATTAACACCAATGGAGCAATGTAATCAACTCGAAACGAAAGCCAGGAGACATAAAACCATTGGAGAAGCCCATGAACCTCGAGCTCCAATGGCTGAATCATTCGCAGATTCCATTTCTTGAAATGGGCAATAAGTTCAACAATCAAACCCACAATAGAAATAGCGAGAAAAGCTTTAATGAACCTATACAACTTCCCTCGGCTCTTGGAACCCTCTTCGTTAACATCCGCATGAGCAATGCGCTTCTTAACAGAAGCAAACAGAGTCTTGACAGTGATGGCGAACCACGAGAAGAAAAACAGAGCTCTGTGAGCTTTGAGGAGAAGAACCCAGGTGAGTTGCTTGGGACTGGCAGCCTTCTGCTTCTCGGGAAGCAACAAAGAATCAGAGCCATTGATTTCCAGTAAGTTCTTCTCGATTGTGACCACAAGAGAGGTGGGAGCCATCTGGGTATGGATTCAAATGAAGAACTGGGAAGAAACAGAGCAAGAGAAGAAACACCCAGATGCGGAATTTTGAGTTGGAAGAAGAAAGGAGAGGAGAAATCGTCAGAAAAGTGTGATTTTTAGTATGGGGAAATGAGAGATCTGAGAAATGGGGTTTAAATTATTAAAGGGAAACCGAATCCAGAAGGTGAGGGGGAGTTTCCCATGAGAGTTGACAGAACAAAACAGAGAAGAAATGGATCTCAATTTGCTCAGCTCAACGACTCATAAAGGAAGAACAAAGGGTTTTCTTTTTTTTTTTTGAAAAAATAATTTTGTTTGTGTTGAGTAGGGCCATTACGATCAGCCCTACTGTAGCAGAAGAGAACAATTTCAGAACAAAATTAAGAACACCTTTTCAATGAAAACGAAAACTTAAAAAAAAAAAAAAAAAAAAAAAAAAAAAAAAAAAAAAAAAAAAAAAAAAAAAAAAAAAAAAAAAAAAAAAAAAAAAAAAAAAAAAAAAAAATTGTAGAAATTTATGTGAAAAATAGTGATGATATCTGATCTATTATCTTAACTTTAATGGGAGTCTGATTACATTAGCTAATTATTATATTGCTAAGGTTTGGGTATGTGATTATGTAATTATTAAGACAACAATTTTCCCCTTTTAATTATTGTTTTTTTCTTCTCTCTCTCTATCACTTAATCATACTTTCATGTTGTCACGTGGTCTATTATTATTCTTTAATTTACATGTAACATTCTTTAAGATCGGTAGTAAAAGTTGCCAGATAAGTTCTTTGTGCCACTGGTGATTTAAGTTTGAGTTGACTGATTTAGTCAACGACGAAACAAGAGTAAATGCTACATAATTACTTTATGAATTTCAAAAAAGTGTAATTGTGATAAATGATGTATGTCGATCGGTCATATGACCAATGCCAAGCTCTGAGTTTATATTTTTACTCTAATTGGCGGTGGAGGAAGGCCAATATTAGTATTTTGTGGGGTACATTTTAGATATTATTTTATATTCAAGTGGGTCATCAATGTTTGGCCGGTATTACACAAAATTAATGAAATAAAATTATATTAATTCTTGAGTTGGAATATACCGTATAAGTAGTGACTTCCAATTATTTTATCTTAATTATTCGAATGTGATTTCGGTTCATTCATGTATAAAATATAATTTTATAGTCTTAAACTTTAAAGTTAGAAAAAGTAATAATTTATAGGTTTGACTAATTAATGATATTTAATATGAGGGAGAGAATTTAATGAAGAGTAAGCTAAGTTAATTTAAGTTTTGCATTGAATAATAGTGAGCTCAGCATCCAATGTCTCACTTTATGTAGATTTAACTCTATGTCATCTCAAGTAAAGCATATTTTATTATGCTTTAATCTGACATTCAATTTTATAATAAAGTTTTCCTCTAAAAAAAATAAAGAATTATTGCATACACATTATCATAATATTAATATGATAGACCATAATTACCAGATTCACATCTCAATCAATTAATTTTCAAACATAAGCATATGGTCAGATCAAATCAAACACATGCCCATTGGTCTTCCAATCTTCAATATGCATACTTCTAAGTGTATGTCGTATAAACCCGACTTCTCTTGTTGGCCACACACACTCACATCGCTGAATTGCCTGTCTTCTTCCTTAATTACTCGCCCCCATGTGCTCCCACTTCTCTAAATCCTCTTCCTTTCCTTCGATCCATTTTCTGTTAGTAACTACAACTCTCCACAATAGTATGATATAGTTCATTTGGAGTAAAACTTCTTATAAATTTATTATAAACTCCTTAATTAGCTGATGTAGAACTCCTTTCTCAATAATTCTCAACGTTCTTGCTCGAACTCTACCTCCCCGTTCTTGTCTCTCTCGAAAGGGAGAGGTGTGTGGTGGTGGGGAGGGAGAGGTTTATAAGAGAAAAAGAAGATAGACAGGTAGAAACATGTGAGGGGGTTGGAACAAAGACGTACACATTTAAGGCTTCTGCCCTCTCACCAGAAGACCATGCCCCTAAACCCTTTCTCAATTCTCTGTCTCTCTCTTGGCTCCACCACACCCTTTAGAATTCATCGGTTATTTTGAAATTTTATTAGTCTAAGTCATTCAAAACATAGCTCGTGAAAAAAGTTAGTTTCAATGGTAAGTTACACGAATTCAAACGACTCTATATTTGTTAGAAATGTCAGTACGAATATATACACACCATTATGCTATCTAAATCATTGTCTTCCATTCCACTTCCTCTCAAAATTTTAAAATGTGTTGGTTAAAGAGGTCTCCTCTCTTCCACTGAACTTACTCTTAAAGATTTTAAAATGCGTCTGTTAGAGAGAGGTCTCCTCTCTAATCTATATGAAATCTCACAATTCATCCCTTAAGGTCCACGTCTTTGTTGACACATTGCCCGATGTCTAGCTCTATACCATTTGTAACAATCTAAACCCACGTGAGCTCCCTACCTTCTTGGGTTTTCTGTTTCGTGTTTTCCCGAAAATGTTTCCAATTCTTCTTCTCTATAATCAATAATGAATTAGGTTTTAACCATTTTTAGGGCTTGCAAGAAAGTGGGCCTAATAGTAGTCTATGGGCTTATTAGGCACCCAGAACATAGTATGATTTAAAGGATTGAAATATGAATTGTAATCTAATGGTGATTTGTTATATGCAATTGAATGGGAGCAGCACATAATAAGAAAGAGTTCACACAAACATGGCCTCCGAATTCCAAGGAATTAAAGAAGAATCCACACAACGCTCTTGTTGCCTATGCATTTTCTTCATACCCATCAAACCCATATAAAAGGCCATGCCCCATCTTCCCTTTCAAACACACACACACACCACCACTACAAATGGCCTTCTCTAAATCCAAGTTCCTCACTCTCTTTATGCTCTTCTCCACCCTTCACCTTGCCTTCCCCAATCAAGAACCTCTCCACGTCCCCATTGCCCAGAGTGACATCGTCGGCCATCTTCTGCCTTACGCGCAGGACTGCTGCAATTTCGATCACACCGGGAATTGCGGCGGTGGCAGCGGCGGCGGCGACTACAACAACCCTCCTTGTGTGCAAAATGGAGGTGGGTGTATGCAGAATCCAGGCAACAGATGCTGCAGTGGCTCGGGGTGCCAGGGTTCGTCATGCCCATGGATGGGACCGAGCCCGTCTTGTGGCTGTGTGAGAAGCAATGTGAAGGTTGAGGGGCAGGTTGATGCTGATCACATCAGCAGTGAACCAATTAAGGCATAAAGCTGAAGCTGAAGCTGAGTGAGGGAGTAGGATCATGTTCTTCTTGTCCAACAACATTACTCCCGTTAGTCAATAATGTCAAAACTGCTTCAATAATGTCAAAGCTTGCAAATAAAAAGCTTCATGATTCATGTTCTTCTTCTTCTTATTATGATACCCACTTCAATTTCAATACACAACTTTCTACTACGTATCCAACTTGACCATTCACATTGCTTATATACTTTTATTTTTATTTCATCTCTAAATATCCACACGTGGTAGAAGTTCTTGGGGACATGGAATTCAAATACCCATTTAATGATGATGAAGATGTATGATAAAACAATGGAAAGGGGCCACTCAATTGCATCAACCAAGCTCTTCTTAGCTGTTAAGATGAGTTGCTATTGAGCTGTTGATGTGGACCTTCCAAGTAAGTTTTCATTAGTATCTACCAACTTGATCCCAATTCTATATTGATGAGAGAATGAGTTTGAATATAAGATACCACAATTTACACTTTTGGGTTAAGATTTTTTAAGGCACACCACACAGTATTTAATTCTTAATATCATTTATAATAACTTAAGTCTACTGCTAGTAGACATTGCTTTACATATCGTTGTCAGTTTCACAATTTTAAAATACGTTTAGTAGAGAGAGGTTTTCACACCGTTGGTAGAACTAAACATTTTTTTATAAGAGTGTGAAAATCTCACACTACTAAATTTTAAAACCATGAGATTGATAACCATATGTAATGGACTAGAGTGGACAATATTGATAGGCTTTTACTGTTATAAATAGTGTTAGAGGAGAATGGGCCAAAACCAAACAAAAAGGTAAAATTGAATGAATTAAAATAAGTGGGACCAAAGATAAGATGGTAGCATCACATGCAAATGCGGTAGGAAACTGAAAGGCATATGGATGACATGTTTGGTGAAATCAGTGGAAGCGATGTAAGGTTTGTCCGTAGAGATTAGAGTGAGGTGAGAGACATTTGGGTTCATCCACCTGCCTGCACCACGCCGTCGGCAGCCAACGTATGGCCGCAACAATCAAAATCCTTCACCCACTGGGCCCTCTCAATTCCCTCTCGTCTTCTTCTTCTTCTTCTTCAGTTCTCTCTCTCTCTCTCTCTCTCTCTCCGCCATGGCCTTTCTCCTTCTCCTTTTCCTCTCCGCCTTCACTCCTTCCGCCACTGCCACTATCTTCGCCGACTACTACCGCAATTCCTGTCCTGCATTCTCTCAGATCATCCGCGACACCGTCACCAACAAGCAAATCACCACCCCGACCACCGCTGCCGCCACCCTCCGCCTCTTCTTCCACGACTGTCTCCCCAACGGCTGCGATGCCTCTATCCTCATCTCCTCCACCCCTTTCAACTCCGCCGAGCGCGACGCTGACATCAACCTCTCCCTCCCCGGCGACGCCTTCGACGTCGTCGTCCGAGCCAAAACCGCCCTCGAACTCTCCTGCCCCAACACCGTCTCCTGTGCTGACATTCTAGCCACCGCCACTCGCGACCTCCTCACTATGGTTGGCGGCCCGTACTACACCGTCTTTCTCGGCCGAAAAGACGCGAAAATTTCCAGAGCCGCCGCCATTGAAGGCACTCTGCCCAGACCCTCCATGAGTGTCTCGGAGATCATTGGAATGTTCGGCTCCAAAGGATTTTCAGTTCAGGAAATGGTGGCGTTAAGCGGCGCTCATTCGATTGGCTTCTCGCATTGCAAGGAGTTCACGTCTGGGATCTTCAATTACACCAAATCCCCGCCCTACGACAGCCATTATAACCCTAGATTCGCATTAGGGTTACAGAGAGCTTGCGCTGATTACCAGAAGAATCCGACTCTGTCCGTTTTCAACGACATAATGACGCCGAACAAATTCGACAACATGTATTTCAAGAATTTGCAGAAGGGGTTAGGGGTTCTGAAATCCGACGGCGGATTTTACAGCGATTCAAGAACACGGCCGTGGGTGGAGAAATACGCTGCAGATGAGAGAGCCTTCTTCGACGCGTTTTCTCGAGCAATGGTGAAGCTCGGTGGCTATGGCGTCAAACTGGGAAACCAAGGAGAAATTAGACGCAGGTGCGATGCCTTCAACTGATCTGAATTCGTGTTTCATTCCAATTTCGATTCTATACCCCTCTTTTTGATTGTTTATGATTGATTATTATAAGATCCAAAGTAAAGTGAAGATATCGCCATTGTTCTGTTCCTTTTTCATCAAAATCATGAATGAATCTTACAAGCATTGAACTGAAATGAAATAAAGAAACCCACAGATCATAATTTTAAAAAATGGAGTTCTTCAGATTGAATGAACCAGAATGCTTTAACTTGGCATCTTCATCGGGAAGAAACAAAAAAGGAACCAAGTGAAGAATAACAAGAAGAAAAAGGTTTACTTTCACTAATATTCACAACCCAAAATGATTTTTTCAAAAATCCGAACTGTACAAATTCAGAGCTCGGACGAGTTGGCGGAGGACCTATCCATTCCGGCGACCAGTCGACACCGAGCTTGGCTGCTGAAAGAGCCCGAGTCTAGCAATTCCTCCCAATTAACATTCTCAGCTTCTTCCTCTCTGACTTTCATGGACTCCATGATCCTCTTCACCTTCTCTTGTAATCTCTCACTTCCGTTTTCCTCCACCGCCGTGAAAACCTCCATTGCTCCGGCGGTTTTGGCCAGACCTTTGAACCGCAAATTACTGTAACTCAGTTCTAACAGAACCGCCACGCAACTCTCCCGTGTCGACTCGGAGTCCAACTCGTTCTCTCTTAACATCCCCACTAAACATTCCACCGCGCCGGAGTTCAACAACGCCGCACGACCCTCGAAACACGCTGCTAAATTACACAATATCAGAAAAATCTGGCCGACCATGAGGCCGGATTTTACCATCCCGAGAAAAACCGGCACCGACCCAAGTTTCACTAGCTTCGAACGGTTGCTCTGAACTTGCGATAAGTGGTACAGAGCAAGAGCCGAGTCGTGTCGGGTCTGCTCCGAGTGGGATACCAACAGCCGTATCAATGACGGCAGAGCACCCAATACGCCGATCGCCGTCTTATTGTCGTCGTCGAGAGCTAAGCTGAAAATGGCACCGGCGGCATGTTCCTGAACCTCCGGGGAACCCGTTTTAAGAATATCGATCAAATTGGGGAGAAATCCCGACCGTACGATCTTGACCTTGTTCATATTCTCTAAGGACAGATTCACCAGTGCTGCAACTGAATTCACCTGAATGCTGCTGTACCTTGAGACGATAAGAGACCGAAGAGCAGAGAGAATCAAAGGGGAACAGAGATAAAGCCTAGTGTCCTCTCGAATTCTCGTGATTTTTCTCAGCGTAACCACACCCTCTTCAATGTCAGTAACCTGAGGGCTTTTGAGCTTCGTGAGGATCTCTTCTTCTTCAGTGGAGTTCAGAGTAGAGATCTCAATTTCAGAAGAAGAACAACTCGGTCGAGTCGCGAGAGGAAGGGGTAGACTCGGAACGGCGGCGACAGATTGATCGGAGCTCGAGTAGAAATGAGATGCCCGACGAGTGACCTCGGTGGCGGTGTGGTTGAGTCGAACCACAGGATTCTCTGCAACCCCTTGAATCAATTCGTCGTCGCTTTTCCTGTGGTCTGCCATGAACTTACCAACGAGCTTTTCGGCGGAGGAGAAATCGAGTGGTTTTGGGGGTTTAGAGGACGAGTTTTTACACCAGTTGAAAATGGTGGATTTCAGAGCCAGATTCGGGATTACAGAGGTGAAATCCGGCTTCGAACCATCTAACAAAGTAGGCTTGAAGCCGAAATCTTTACAAACTTGAACACAGGCGGCCTCGAATGTGTGGCCAGAGGAGACAATTACAGGGTCCGCCATTAAAGACCCCGAAATGGGACAGAGCAATTCTTTGGGTATTTCCTTCAATTGGGGTTTGGACGAAAAGGGGGAAGAAGACGACCGACTGAAGATCCGCCATTTCCGTGTAGGACTACTGGTTATCTCTGAAACTGCAACCGATGGAGAATTTTTCTCGAAAGCCCAATTAGGTTGAGTATGTCTATGGACCATAAACTTCATCAAACCCTCCTGAAACTCCATTTCCGATTCTCAGCTTCAGACTTCCGGTCTCTCTACAAAACCCTTTAAACGAGCGCAAAGAAGATAGCCTCTGTGACTCGTCAGTGAAACGGCTACATGAATTGATCCTGAAGCTCCATGAATTCTGTGGGTAACTGAACAGCGGCTGAGTTTTGGTGAAGTTAACAAATAACTAATCGTTGTTCTAAACTAATAAAAATAAATAGGTAAGAGAAAACCCATTAAAAAGTTCATTTCTGTTCCACTAACATTTTATTCGAGTTATAACAACTTGCAAAGCAAAGAAATTTAAATTTCTAAAATCTTCTTTTTTTCTACTCACCTAAGAAATTTAGAAAAGCCCTCATATTTATGCTACAATCTTCCAATAAAATGATAAATTGATTAAATATCAGTTGACAGTCAATTCAAACTGTAAAGAAAGATCAAGAACATTGGCCACACTACTCTTCTCTTCCTAACCCTAATTCAAATCTCAATTATGTTCTTTTAACTTTACAAAAAGGGTTCTTTTGTGCACAAAGTGGCAGATGACTTTTTCTCGACTGTTTCCTAAGTTAGTACCATATGAGATGTGTTTGGCCCTCCCTTTAGATTCCAAACAAAAGCCTATCCTTGGTTATTAATGAAAACAACCATATAAAGTTCAAATAAAAATTCCAACTAAAGTGGTGCAACAAAATATAATCTTTAAACCCCCATATTGGCCCACTAAATCCTGTAATAAACCGACCTTAGGAAAGGTAGTTTTCCTAAAGATACAATGAGAGAACTTGACAGTGCAATTAACCAGGAACTCAATTTTTTTATGGTACGAGATTAAATAAGTGGGTAAAGGGTAGCACCTTTTGACTCTTTACTGCTTTCCATTCTTCTGTAAGCCAAAGAAATTAGTCCACATGTTACCACTCCGCTCTGCTTTCACTTCTCTCTAAGCAATAAACAAAACAATCCATTTGGCTTTATTCTCAATGGACTTTCAAGGAGGCATGGATGTAAAGTGTAAAAGCAGACTATTTAAAAGTAACTGATAGACTTTCAAAGAGCACTCCATCATTGTCATCGAGGAATCTGATGCTCTAATTCCAGTAAGGTCCAACATCACTTTTTGAACAAATTGAAAGAATAAACACAGATCAAGTTCACATTAAGATAGGAGAGAGGAGAAAACCTTCACTGGCTACCCATGTTCCTTTCTTAGAAAAACTCACCTGTTTTTTTCAGATGAAAACAGAAGCAGCCACGAAAGATCATCACCAGAAACGTACACTACATGTGGTCGATCTTCTTGATCTCCTCTTATTCAGATGTTAATAAGAAAATAGTAGCCATTGAAGCAAATAAGCAAAGATATATGAAGTACCTTTTCGACTGATGTTGCCAGTCACAATTCCTTCTTCCACAATGCTCTAGTTTGTAGCATGAGTAGCATCTACAGAGTTATAATGAAGCCTTCTCGGTCTGTTCTACTACCTGGTATGTGAGAAAACGCACAAACGCAACAAGTCTCATCTCAAGGTTCAAGCGTATCGGTGTAATTCAAGACGTGATGAGTTTCAAAGATTTGTCAACTAGTTGTGTTTTATGAAATTCTAATCTAATGAGACCTAATGAATTGGGTATTGATTTATTCCATTCTCAATACCTAATGAGTAGGGTATTCAATGAGTCCACTCTCAATAAGTAAATTATTAAAAGTTCTATCCACGCATGCTAAGAACAGCACTAGTAAGGCAGAGGTCAATGAAGGCACTATACACAATTGATTCTGCTGCTTAAATTTATCCTCAAAATGTTCATACATACAGATAAAAACATCCCCAAAGAGGGCTTTAATTTACAAAAGGAATACACCCGTAAACATTTCAGACGATAGACACGAGTGATCCAGAACTCTACGCTCGTCCAATTGAGAATGGTGGTGGCGGCCGCTGCTTAGAACGGGGCAACAGGGCAAGAAGAATCTTTTTCCTTGGTCCCTGTTAAATAGAAGTATCATGTGAGGGTTCAAATTAAATTTCCAATGCATACAACAAGCTTGGATGATATTGAAGTTCCAAGTGAAATCATTAAACTAGACTAGTTAGGAGGAAACTACCACGTACACTGGTATAGAGTACTTTTATCAAATGATTTCACAGTGCATATGACACATTCTTCTTTGGCAGTACTAATAATCAGATAAATGATAATGCGACAGATGAAAACAATTACATAAACAATATAACATAAAAACCAAGCCACTTCAGACTATGGTAGTATTATTGACCCTATCAGTATCCTTTAGGAGCATTCGTTTAAGGTTTGAATGAAAAAACGACATCTAGAAACAAAATGAATTTGGTGGTACATAGATAGAAAACTTCAATAATACTGCATTAGTTGAATGGATCTTTGCTTAGGATTTCATATCTTCGTTATTGTATTAATAATAGTAAAATTAAGTAAAATAAACCAATATAGTATGAACAGAAGTTTCAGAGTTGATAAATTAGTCATAAATAAGAACTATAACTCAAGCCAAGTAAAATAATTAATAAGCTGATTTTTTTTTTTTTTTTTGTTGAGAAGATGAGATCATATGTCTTAACTAATTGATGTAATCAATTCAAGTACAATAAAATGGTTGCTTCTTCAATGAAATTAGTTAATTTATCAGTTGACGTAAGACAAATTAGTAATTATTCAATATAATTTTAGTACCAATCAATATTAGCAGAGTTATTTTTTCAGTTAAGTATAATCAAAGTTAGAGTTCAAAAAATTGAAGTCATTGAAAAATAATTTAAAGATTAGGTAATTTTAACGTTACAAAGTAATTTATCAAAGTGTAGCAAATTAATTGATTCTGGAATTCAGTAATTATGAATTAAAACTAATTTACAAGCCCTATCTATCTCATATCCATTCCCATGAAAAATAGCTTTCAATTTTATGAAGTATACTCGAGCAACATTAGTAAGGCCTATAGAATTATAACACTTGGAAGCTCATGGAACATTCAAAATTCCAGTCCAGGACATGTTGAATAAATCCTAAGGCTATTCACTCGCAAACCCAAACCTCTGTCAACTTAAACTTGATGGTATGACACGCTAGTTCTCAACTAACAGGGCTTATCAAAATCGCAGTTAGGCAAGCACGCCACATACAGGACTAAAAGTAAGTTGGAAAGCAAAAAAATGTTTTTTCAATTAGAGTTTGACAATCGTAGAATGCCAGGGAAATGGAATTACCATTGGTATCCCCAACTCTTTAAGATCCTTGTCTCCCATCTGTCTCAAAGCTGTCATATCAATCTGCAAGATACAAGCATTAAAAAGTCCATAGACAAGCATAAGGAACACCATACATAACATTCATATGGTAAAAGAAACCCATTTGTTGTATGCTACAGAATCTACCGTTCTACATCTTATAACGTTTTCTTTTTAACCAGATATAAACTTCTGATCGATTAATGAAAAAGAACTTTAACTTTCAAGAAAATACATACATTCGGCAATACTGAAAAACAATATACAAGCAGAGATGACTTACTTCTTCTGCCTGAAAATGAATGGAATATTTCCCCAAACCAAGTGAATTCAACAAGCCAGCAACAGAAAGAGAACCCTCCCCCTGTAAACAATCATTAACAAGGCTTATCAACAAAAGGCTCAATCCGGCATCAAAGATGAGCTAATCTATAAGATTATAAAACTTAATAAATTGAGCTGGCACATTAAATTAGGCCAATAAGCAAAAACGGTCAAAGGGTATACCATTGTGGAACTTCTCTGCATGCTGCCACTTATTGGTGGGACATCCTTAACTCCCTTTCCAGACACAGGGAGGGCGGCTTTCAGTTTCCCAGGTGCAGAGTCTACAGACTTATAACTATCAGCAACGCTGTTTTTGAAAAACCATTCACCTTTTGAACGATCAGCTTCCATAATAGATGAGGTTCTCCTGAACTCACCATTGTATCTAGGTGGTGAAAGCCCGATGGACCTTTTCATGATCCCATCTGGGGATCTAACTCTCAATCTATCAACATATGAAACAGCACTTTTCCTCTGTGACTGTTCTAGGTATAGATCATCGGCACTTTCTCTAGCATGTGGTCGCCTTATAAGACTGCTCCCTCTAAATTCATGCCTACCATGTAATACATCTCCACTAGTTGAGGCCAGCGAATTTTTTGATAATTGATGGTGTAAACTCATCCTCCAGTGTTCTTCTCCAATACCGAATTTCTTGGATTGATTTTTGCGCATAAGTTTCAAGCGAAGATCATTTTGACCAACTCTGTAGGCTTTATTCAAATAAGAACAGAAGTAATCATGAGATCAAAGAAAACCAAGACGTGTAGAAAAACATACAATAATATAAGCAGAGAATTTGCCATTACCGTCTTTTCTTTCACCATTTGAACTCCAGGGAAAGCCATCTCCACGTTGCCTGCAAAGAGAATACTTAATTAAGGCATGCAAAATTCAGAATATATACTAGTTCTAGATTCGTAGATAAAATGAGGAGATTCATAAAGAATAAAAATCCACAAAGTAATCACTGTATGAAAAATCAAAACTCCAACGACATAAAATATACTTCATAAAAAGGAACGTTATTATCTCTACAGCGGCACTTCAATTAGGGAGGTCTCTAGAGCATGAAATCAAATTAACTGAAAGAAACAAGTGGCCAACAATTTGTTCAATTTTTCAAGTTAACGTACACCATAAATGCAAGAAGAAACAACAAGGTGAAAGCTGAGAACACGAAAAAGTTTGAACTGAAAAATTACAGACCTACCGGAGATATGGGCTACGAAGAAAATAAAAGAAAAGGAAGAATGCCCGGGTAGGTATATGCTAGTAGTAGTCAATACAGAAGTACAGAAAAAGAAAGCAAACCTCTTATTCGCGGACGAAAACAAATCTTCAGCATTATCAGCTGATCTCTCAAGATACCGTTTTCTTCTTGACTCTGATCCAGAATCAATGTTCGATTGTGCGAAGTCTGAGGCTATACCTCCTCTCTTTATCACCTGAAATGATGCGATCACAAAAAGAAAAGCTCAGTAAGTGCAATAATCATCGATGACGTAACTGGTACAAGAAAAACTGAAGGCAAACTCGAAAAATCTCTGCCTTTCCTATTTACTTTTTAAAAAGACGCTTGAACAAACTAAATGCGACTACCTGACCAG